CCCTTTCAGGGCCTGCAGGTGCACACCTGTCTGACCCTGGGAGATGAATTGGCCAAGGAGACATAAGTGCTGACAAAGCAAAAGGCTTTATTGTTAAGGAGCATCTGAGCGGAGAGCAGCAAGATGAGGGAATCCAAAGAACTGCTCCACCCCATGGTTTGTGGTCTCTCTCAGGTTTTACTTTTTGGTAAAAGGGTTAATATCCAGGGTGTCTCTGGTCAGTCACTTTGCTTGGCCCTAGTCTGACTCAAGGTCCTTCCAGGTGGTGCACACATCTCAACCAAGATGGATTCCAGCAAGAAGGATTCTGGGATGCTAGCAGAACATGTCAATCCCCCTCCTTTTGGCCCCTTCCAAATTCTGTTTTCTTGTGGCAGCAGGACCTCTGATTGCAAGAAAGTGCTTAGAAGTGATTATCATTGTGCCTGGCTAAGGCAGGCGGTTTCAGTCAGTGGTTACCAACACTTGTACTATTTCAATTAACTAGTTAACGAACCATCACAACTCAGCCAAAGTAAGCCCCTTTATGGTGGGCTTCTTTATCCTTTGAACACTGTCCCTGAAATCCTTGGATATCCAACTTGCCTCAGGCCCATTCTAAGTAGTATGTGTATGCTTATGTGTGTGTGTGTGTGTGTTTCTATGTACATACTTTTGCATCTGCATGTGTTGATGTGTGCGAGTGTCTGTGGAGATGAAATCAGCGGCCCTCCCAATAGCCCTGCTACACTTCAGTGGAGAAATGCAGTAGGTCCAGATCTAAGATCTGTGGGCATACATGAAGTATACATGAGAATGGTGACGTATACATGAGAATGGCAACCTGTACGTGAGAACGGTGACACATACCTGAGGATGGCGAGCGCACGTGAGGATGGTGGAGTGTACGTGAGGATGGTGGAGTGTACGTGAGGATGGTGGAGTGTACGTGAAGATGGCGGAGTGTACGTGAAGATGGCGGAGCGTATGTGAGGATGGCGATGCATACATGAGGGTGGCGACGCATACGTGAGGATGGTGGAGTGTACGTGAGGATGGTGGAGTGTACGTGAAGATGGTGGAGTGTACGTGAAGATGGCGGAGTGTACGTGAAGATGGCGGAGTGTACGTGAAGATGGCGGAGCGTATGTGAGGATGGTGGAGTGTACGTGAAGATGGCGGAGTGTACGTGAAGATGGTGGAGTGTACGTGAAGATGGCGGAGCGTATGTGAGGATGGCGATGCATACGTGAGGGTGGCGACGCATACGTGAGGGTGGCGACGCATACGTGAGGGTGGCGACGCATACGTGAGGATGGTGAAGTATGAAATGGCCACTTTTAAAGACAGAGCTCCAAAATGCTTTTGATGATTTTATATACTAGTTTTGATTTTTTAAAATAAGTAACACTCATGATAGAAAAAGTACATCCTAGCCATCTGATTCACCTCTCAAGACAACTACAGGTCTGAACTCTTGGTCTTCTACACTGAAGGTTATGAGACCACGTGGATGCTTCCTGTTTCAGGAATTATAGTGCTCCCCCTCCATGTCTTCCTTTTCTTTTAGGATGAGCCTTTTTTGCCCATTTGGATCTCACTTCCCTGTCCCCTTCCTCAAGAAGTTCTCACTCTGGGAGAACAGAGCAGGGCAGAGAGGACAGCACTACAGGAGGCTGCTCTGAGGGCATGAGAGCCCTGTGTGAGTGTGCTGGGGGTGGGCGTGGACAGGGTGAGGCATCAGCGGCTAGTATCAAGCAGCGTGGCCAGGTGAACTTGGGTGACAACCACAAAGTTCACTTCTTGCTCTTGCTCTGTGTCCGTGGAGTGTTGGGACACTCTGGGTCACCTTTCGGAGACTCAGGCTGATAGGGCAAGCACCAGCTCTAGTTGCAGATCATGGGGACAGAGTGGAGGGCACCCTGGAAAGTCTCACATGGACAACACAGTGCTCGCCCCCAGGTGATGGGCAACTCTTCCACTCACCCGGCATCCTGTTTGCCAGAACTAGTCACATGGCCTCTCCTGAAGGCTGGGGATAGAATATGCAGCCAGACCCCAGGCCCAGAAGAGCAGGGAGCACAGTGATGGCCCAGAGGATGACACAGCCCATGGAGGGCAAAGGGGAAATTTTAAAATTTGTGTGTCTATCATTACTTCTACTTTGTTTTTAAAGCATGTGTTCCCAGTGGGATTCCTGTTGCCTTCTTACACCCATACATCACCTTTCATTTACTGTGATGTGTGTTACAACCTAACTCAATTCTCAAGGAAAGGTGTTAGTAAAAGTCTTCTTGATACTTAAATAAAACAGGAGATTTATTTTTAAAAAATTTAAAGCATTTCTTGCTGTGCCGAGTCTTAGTTGCCACATTGGGGATCTTTAGTTGTAGCATGCAGGATCTTCAGCTGTGGGGTGGAACTCCCAGTTGTGGCATGTGGGATCTAATTCCCTGATCGGGGATTGAACTCAGGCACCCTGCATTGGAAGTGCACAGTCTTAGCCACTGGACCACCAGGGAAGTCCCAGGAGATTTATATTTAAAGTTGGGCTATTTCACAGAGACAGAGCCATGTTTCCCTGGAGCAGTTCTCAGAGAGGACTTGTGTGTGCCCTGGGTGAGGGTCCTGGGTGCCCACCCAATCAGGTGGGATGGTGGTCATGACCAGGGGGTGGGAGGCAGTCCTGGCCCTGGGTCAGGGGTGAGGCTGGACTGTCACGTATTTGTCTCTCTTGGTCCCCAACCAATCCTGGGGCGGGGGGAGGGTAAGACATGTCATGGCCATCTCACAGAGTAGAAACCAGAGCCACAGGACTAGGGCAGCTTGCCTGGGGTGGAGAGTTTAAACTTACAGATGTCATACCCTTAGTTTTGGCCTTTGGCAAGGAGGTTGAAGCCTCAGACCTCCCTCTGTAACTTGGGTTGCTCCAAGGACAAGATCTACAGGCCAAGTCGTGCCCAGTGCTCACAACACAGAAGTAAGCTCTTCGGCATGGCTGGCCGCAGAATGTTCCAGTGCACTGTTGTTCAGGTCTATGCCCAAACTTGAACAAATGCTTGTTAGGATCAGCTCTAGAGCATCACCTGTTAGGTCTTGGGGCTTTGCTTTGGCCAGTAGCAAATACACCTGAACTGCATTTGGCTCCGAGTTAACAGGAAAATATTGGCTTATACAAGAAAGCACTTTCCTTGTCTATGACGTGACAAAGAGCCCAAAGGGAGATAGCTGGGGCTGGTGTGGAGCGCGCCCCCCCACTTCACTGCCCAGGGCCTCCCTGACCCCCTCCCCCGGTGGGGGGGCCCCTGCCCTGGTGCTCCAGTGAGGACCAGGGAGGCGGCAGAGGGCCACAAAGGCTCCTGCCAAGTCGGCCCTCATGGATTTTCCTCAAGCCCCACTCAGGCGTCTCCACAGTGTCCCTGGGCAAGCCCATAAACAGCATTTCATCGTTGTCTCCAAGACTTTTGGCTTACTGTTGGGTCAGGCTGAGTCTTGTTGATGTCCTCTACCCGTTTTCCTCTTGAGTTTTCTCTTTTTCAGCAACAGCTACAAACTTTTTGCTTAAAGGATAAACCAACTATTTGTCTCTCCTTTTTGTTACAAATATTATTTCCTCTCAATTGACTGTTTTAGTTTGATCTTTTTAGTTTAATTGATCTTTTTAGTTTGTAGAAATTTTTCCATTTACGTTTTTAAGATATTCAGGTTCATGAACCACTTCCGTACGATTTCTAACTTTGGTGAAGAGGCCCTCCCAGCTGGCTCTCGAGAACACGGGCTGAGCTCACTGCAGCTTGTCGCCATCCTGGGGCTGGGCGAGGGCGGCGGGGAAGGCTGAGACCTGACCCGGGGATCCTGAGGGTCACAGAGCAGTCTGGCTGCAAGTGAGGTGGAGCACAGGTTTGGGACAGAGTAGGCACAGGGCCTGGTTTGCATTTGAGAAGTTAACTAGGCAGCCAGGAGGTGTGGAGACAGGAGGACAGGGGAGCGGTAACCTCCGAGTCCCCGCTGGGGGTGAACGGCAGGGACGCGGGCCGGAGGCTCAGGCTTCAGTCCCCCTGAGGCCACGGAAAGCAAGCGGGGAGACTGACAGAGCCCGTCTCTGCCCACAGAAACTGCTGGGGGCACATGAGCCGGGAGGGCACGCCCCATCTGCCAGGACAGCGAGTGGGCCGGGTGGGACACGCTCGGACTGTTACTGTGTGTGCTCTACAGAGAGAAGCCATGACTTCATCTTCAGAGTCTGTTTATTTTCAGATAAAAGGAATCACATTTGCCTACATACCCCAGCAAAATCTAAAGTTTAATTTTTATAATTTAATTTTAGAAAAAAGTCAACAGTTTGCACTGGAGGATGATCTCAGGTTCCCACTCCTTTTCTGGGTTAAGCAGCCTCAAACAGTTACTCTTGGTGGTGATGTGAATGTGAATGCATGCGTGTGTACACACAAGTGTGTGCATCCTTTATGAAAGTTCTTGCTGTCATACCCATACATCTCCCTTTGACAATTTCACTTTTTTTTTTATTCTGCTGTACTGTTTAGCAAACAGATAATTTGATATAAGTCCCATATGATGTGATTTCACAATAAGAGGTCTAACCATTGAGATATGACTTAATATGTTAAAGTAATAGAAAAGCTTATTATGTGCAAACAAACAGGGCTTATGCTGCAGCTGCGTCCGAGTTTATTTCACAAAGCTGTAAACACAGGCCCTTTCTCAAGTCCTGCTGATGGAGTCTCTCCTGCCTTCTGTCGGCAGAAGAAGAATGCAGCGGCTGAGGTGCGCTCTGCCCTGTGCGGCTCTTGGCTTCCCGGTCCGTCACTTAAAGGAGCCCATTCATCCCCATGCCGGGCAGTGCTCCTCTCGGGGTCCTTCTGAGGCTTTTCACACACAGGCTTTCCCAAGCGGGAGACATCTGATCTCCGCCTGCCCAAGCGGGGCCCCCAGGCCCCGGGGACCCGGGAGCTTGAGAAACGTGCTGAGAGCCGGGGAGCTGCCAGGGGAAGGGGCAGGGGTCACAGCCCTCCTCCCACCCTGCCCTGAGCTGCTCCCTGACTGAGGGCCCCAGTGTAATTCCACCCCAGGCCTGGGGGTGAAAGTGGGGAGGCCCACGAGGCCAGCCAGGCCCAGCCCTGAGAGTGGACGGAGGGGGCAGGGGCCCAATCAGTTCTGCTCACTGCCTTCCCTGGGGCTGTAAAACCAGCACTGGGGGGGGCGGGTACCCAGGGGACTGTGCCCTGAACAGGAGAACCCTTAAACCCTCGGTGGGGTGGGGTCTTCTCAGCACGTCTTAGCAGCAAGTGGTTCGGAGGACAACCCAGCCTGCCTGCCGGGTCCTCAGAGGGCTGCGGGCTGCAGGCAGAGGGGTCAGGCTGTGGGCCCATGCTGGCCGCAGCCAGGGAACAGTCGCCCTGCAGGAATCACCTCCTCTTCCGCACGCACGCCTCCAGCCGGCCCAGCTCCTCATAGGACTGGTAGAAAATGTCAAACTCCTGCGTGCCCCAGCCCCTCCAGACAGCCAGGCACCACTCCAGATTTTCGTTCTCAAAGCCGCACACAACCGTGTCCTTTGCCACCACGGCAGCATCCATGAGAACCCTGCAGAGAGATGGGGTCTGAGAAAACCCACAGGAGTTCCTGCTTCCTCAGGGTGGCGACCCTCACCCTGCACCTTCTCAGAGGACAGAGCCTGGCTAAGGGGGCATCTGTGCACCCCAGCCTGGCACCAGCCACGTGCTTCTCTGTCTGGTGGTCTAGCATGTGGGCAGTCTTTCTAAAGCCTATAAAGGGCATCATTTCAACTTCACCTCAGAGCAGGAATCCTCCCTAACACACCTCAGACCCCAACATGTCCAGAAAAAACAGTCAGCCTTCTATGCCTACGAGTTTGGCATCCTTGGATATGGAGGGCTGGCTGTGCGTCCTTGTGTGTGCTTAGCTGCTTATTTGTGTCTGATTCTTTGTGACCACATGGACTGTAGCCCGCCAGGCTCCTCTGTCCATGGGATTCTCCAGGCAAGAATACTGGAGTGGGTTGCCATTTCCTCCTCCAGGGGATCTTCCTGACCCAGGGATTGAACCTGTGCCTTCTGCATTAGCAGGCAGATTCTTTCCCACTGAGCCACCTGGAAATCCCAGGGCTGACTATATTATATCATTTTATATATAAGGACTTGAGCACCTTTGGACTTCTCTGTATCTGTAAGGGTCCTGCAATCAGTGCCCCTGCAGATGCTGAGAGAGGCTGGAATGATCAATTCTATCCTATAATTCTTGCTTATCAATGGTTCTAAGCTTTAACTCAATTTCCTTGCCACTCAATCCAGGCATGATTTTTCTCTCTTATTATGTTTCCACATGCCTAGGAAATGTGGGGGAATATATTAGACAGAAAACCTATACCAAGTCTGAACTATGTACATTTTTAAAAGCAAGTTCTGCATGACCCAGGCACACCCTACACATTTCCTTCTGGGCCTTTGCAGGCTGTGTGCCCCCCTCTAAGCAGACACTGCCAGCCTCTCTTCCCTCTGCCCGTGTGGCCTGATGGCACCAAGGCCAGCGTGTAAACTGGGATGTGTAGGGGAATCTGCTCTCGTGGGCCTTGCATGTCTTGGGCACTCAGTAGCTATCTGCCAAGGGACTAACTGTCTCAGCACGACTGAGTGGCTAAGCAGCAGTAAATGTCTCAGACGCATCTCAGAAAGCTGGTGGGCTCGGGCCACGGCCTTCCTTTTGCTGGCTGCCTATGCTGCTTTCTCCCTGCAGTGAGGGTGCCTGCTTTTGGTAAACCTGTCTTTGGGGGCAAATAGGAAAAACAACAGCAGGGGAAAAGTCAAGGGCACTGATGGTGGACACTCCAAGGTCAACAGGCCTAGCCTCTACGGACACACCTGCTCCCCGGGAAGCCTGACCTGGGACCTGGGGACTACCACTGCCCCCACACTCAGCCAGCACTCAGGAGCAAACCCAGCTCCAGTCTCCAGAACCACCGGGAGGGCAAGGGCCACTGGCCCAGGTGCCACATACACCTCCATCATCGTTCTGCTCCAGGGAAAACAGGCCGAATGCGATTTCTCCATAAGGGAGAGAAGCGCATGGGACTCAGCCCAGTGAGGGGTGTGGATGCCGTGGGCTGCCTGACAGCCCTAGGAACAGTGGCCGGACCAGCCTTGCATCAGTACAGCCAGGCAGGTGGGGTCCAACGGCATCCTACAGTGGCGTCTGGCCTGCCTTCTGATGGCGGTAAGTACAGCTGAGCCCAGAATGGGCATGGCGGGCGTGGACGTGGTGAAGGCTGGTGTGGCCTGGCAGCGTGGCTCCACCTGGTGCCCAGGGGTAGGAGAGGCACCTCAGGAGGGCTCCCCTGCTTGGCAGGAAGAGTGGGGGACCACCTGGATCCCCACTGTGACTGCAGCTGAACTGGGGCTCTGCAGGCTACCTCGGGCTGGGCAGGTGGTCCACAGGTGCACGGGGCACCCCAGAAAAGGGAGCCGTGACTGTGACTGATGCCCCTCTCAGCTGGCATTTGCTGACCCCCTGGGAGCTGCCTCCCGCAGACTCTGTATTGTTCCTCCTCTGCCTCTACTGACAGGGGTGGATACTATCAGTTTTGGGTGGAGGACAGAAGGGCCACAGCCATCACGCAGGGAGGCGGTGGGGGGGCCTCGATTCCCTAAGCTACAGCCCGGCCCCCACGTAGCTGCCCTCCATCTTACCCGTGTGGAGTCAGCTCTCGGGCTTTCAAGACAGCAATCACGCGGCCCCGCTGAGTTCCTGCCTCCTTCTCCAGGCCAATGACGATGATATCTCCACCGCGCCTAAGAAACCAGAACCCCGCAGGGGAATCGTTTGTCCAGGGCTGTGCTCTCCAAGGGGAAATGGAGAGGGTGTGCAGAAAGGCAGGGAAACAGACACAGCTTTGGCACATGGATCAGGTTCCTGGGAGGGCCCCAGAGCTGGGTGAGAAGCCCTTTCCCGGTCGGAAACCCGACCACGGCTCTCCTCTCTGGTGCCCTGAGCTCTGGTGGGCCGACAGGCAGCCCTTCTTAGATCTGCTAACGGAGCCCTCCAGTTCCAGGAGAGAAAGGGCGGCTCCCGATGCATCTGCCTGTACTTGAAGGTTCCCTGCACTCTGGCCCCACAGCAAGAGCAGAGGGCGCAGGGTGACGCCCCTGCAGGACACCTACCTGGGGACCCAGATGACGTCTTTCACGGCGAGGATCTTCACAGCCTGCAGGTGCTGGCTGAACGCCTCGCCATCCACGGGGCTCAGGTCATGTGCCGGCCTGTCGGAGCCTGCGGCTGGCTTGGGCAGCTGGCTGCTGTCCTCGCAGTCAGCACAGAAGGGCAAGCTGGCAGAGCTCGCTGGGGAGCAGGGCAGGCTGGACAGGGAGCAGTAGTCGGTCAGTGAGTCCTGGTGGGTGAGGATCTGTGTGCCCAGCTCCTCGCTGAACATGAAGCTCACGTCGGCGATGGAGCCCCTCGTGGGCTCCCTCGGGCTGGCCACGGGGCTGTCCAGGGGAGGTGGGCCCATCGGGCGCACGGGAAACACGTCCCCAGTGGGGCTGGGGTCCCCGCAGAAGTAGCGGGCGCACAGCTGGTAGGTCGCCGAGTGGAACATCACCAAGCAGTTGGCCCTGTCGTCCAGGCACCACACCACCTCCTCACCACGGCACTCCGAGCCGCACACCACAGACGTGACCACCGAGGGCGCCGTGTAGGGCTCTAGCCGCCGGCGTATCTCCAGGGCCGCGCAGTCAATGACCAACAGGCCTGGCCCGTTGCTGTACCAGACCTCGGACCCGCTGTTGACCACCTCCATGGCCGTCACGGGGTAGGGGTTCTGCCGGGCGTCCTCGTCGGGGATGCCGAACCTGGCCCTGTTGGCCGTGTGTGAGCAGAGGTAGGAGCAGCCGGGGTCCGGGGCGCCCCATGCCGCCGGGAACACCGCCACCAGGCCGTCCGCCAGGCCCGCCAGCACCAGGTAGGAGTTCTGAGGGGGGAAGACAGGGTGCTTGATGCCCTTGCAGCTCAGGCATCCAAGGAGAGAGACAGCACGTGCAGGACCCACCCCTGCAGGTACCCCGTGAGCACGCACTTCCTGTCAGCACCTCCCGGCTTCTAACACAGGCCGGGGCTGCCAGCAGGATCTTCCAGTGTGCTCCCAAAGGAGGTGCAGCTCAGGCCCAGAAGAGCCACCTCTGCCCTCCTTCCTGGGAGCAGAAGGGTGCCCGCTGGCGCCCGAGCAAGGGCCACGTGCTGCTGGGACCACCCAGCCCACCCTCGGTGAGCCTGGGCCTCCTGCCGGGCCAGGAGGAGGGAGCGGCCTTCCCCTCAGTCACCCAGGCCTCCTCTGAGGCGGGAGTGGTGCCCTTCTTCCGCTGAACTCTGCTGCATAAACTGATGGTGGCTGTGGGTGCCCCACGGGGCTGGGACTCCCGCTCGCCACTTCCACAAGAGCAGGCCTGGGTCTGTGTGTCCACCACTGCCCCCAGGGCCAGCCCGCACAGGGAAGGGACGACTCCCAGCCACCTTGGGGACCCCTCCCCCTTGGTTTTCTGCTCAGGTACCAACGGGTGCCTGCTGAGCTAAATCTTGAAGAAATCACTTTCAGCTCAGTCCTCTAACGGAGGCACCTCTTGGCCACCACACCGCATGCCCTGTTTCCCACATCTACTCTGAAATGCTGTGGTCCAGCTGACACTGAGAGGGCCCTCGGGGTGTCCCTGCCCTGCCTTGAAGCACATGTTCTTCTACGACCACCAGAGGTCACCAGGCAGAGGCAGTGCTGAACGCTGGGCCCAGCCCTGCTGCCTTGGAGCGTCTATGCAAAGCTGGGAGTGGAGAGCAGCTGAGCAGGCTCCATGCCCAGGTAGGCCAGGAGGGGGACAGGAAGCGTTCAGGAGCACAAAGCCAGAGCCGGGAAAGGGCAGAGGCGCGGGCCTTGCGCCAGCGAGGGCGAGCAGCAGAAAGCCTCCTTGTCAGGAGCTGGGGAGGCAGGCTGTCCAAGGCGATGAGTGAACCAGCCCCGAGATCAACAGCCCTCAGAACGCTTATCAAAATCCATCTCCAGGATTCCAGGACAGAAAAGAGCCAAAGCAAATAGGAGCGAGGTCTCTCTCTGAGTCCCAGCTCCAGGCCCCAGCCAGGCGGCGAGTCCCACGTCCCGGCTGGGTGTGGACACGCACGTGCAAGAATTCAGGGTCTGCCCTCTGCGGCCAAGGGGCAGCACGTCCTCTGAGGGTGCAGACACGCCAACAGGGAGGCCCCGCACAGAGCCGGCTTTATTCCCGCCGGCCTGCGGGCGGCGGTGCCCCGGCTTGGGGCTCTGGCCAGCCACGGCCTTAAATAACACTTTGTGCCGTGCTCTGCGCTTCAGTGCAACTGGGTCCTGAGCTGCCCGGCCTCGCCTGTGGGGCCACAGTCATAGCTGACTCTAAGACTGAGTTCAGGTTTTTTTTTTCTTAAGAAACAAAACCACAGAGGCGTGGAGAGGAGACTGTATGTAGTTCACGACTGTCAGGAAGTAGCAACAATGCTCTCATTTACCCAGAGTGCTGGCCCAGAGCTTCAGGTAAGCTGTGCCCAGAGATCCTCCTTACCATCTCTTTTACACCCACTTTGCAGATGGGAAAACTAGAATCAGATGATTGTAGTCGACTCGTTTTAACAAAGCCGCACCAATAATGGCCCTTTGAGCTGGGAGCTACACAAACAAGTGCCTCAGGCCCCACAAAGGGGTTCCCGAGGCTGGAGAAGCCTTGGGGACATCATTGAGGAGCTTCTCAGAGTGGGGGGTCATGGCCCTGATCTTCAGAAATGAAAAGGAAGAGGTGTGAGCAGCTGGATCGGTTCTGGAGGGAAGGGGCTACTGGGCACGCGGTGCTGGGTGGGGAGGGTGTGCAGTGGGGCCGGCCTGTGGGCTGGGCCTGATCTCAGGAGCTGCAGTGCTTGGGGACCTGGCTGGGGCGGGCACCACTCGCAGATTCACTTGAGAACGGCAGGAGCTAGAGGCTGAGGTGGTGAGTCTTTGGGGCTAGACTGAGGTCTGGGCTGGATGGTGTGTACCCCAGAGCAGGCAGAGCTGGAGGGGGCGGGGATACGGCTGCCCAGCAGGGGTGGGGGCCTGCCAGGGCCTGGGGGCTGAGTGGCCGTGGGGGTGCCGGGCCAGGTTCTCAGGGGGTGCACATGCAACTGCTCCTGGATGCCATCTGTACCAGAAAAGCCTCTCACTCCAGCTGGAGCTGTGGCGCTTGCCTGCGGGACGCAAGCCTTCCACTCAGCCCTTAGTTTTACTGGTCACTCGCTTCCCTGGTGCTCAGATGGTAGAGAATCTGCCTGCAATGCAGGCGACTCGAGTTCAGTCCCTGGGTCGGGACAATCCCCTGGAGGAGGAAATGGCAACCCATTTCAGTATTTCTTGTCTGGAGAATCCTAAGGACAGAGGAGCCTGGCGAGCTACAGTCCATGGGGTCACAAAGAGCTGGACACGTTTGAGCAGCTAACGCTTAGGTTCTCGGAAACCCAGAGGCACTGAGGATGGCCTGGGTCTCCTGTCTCTATGGCTGACTATAGCCTAGGCCTGGTGGTCCAGAAGAACATGGTTCTGCTCCCTTCCCTATCTGCCCAACGAACAAACAGGTGACGGAGAACCAGAAATCTGTGCACCCGCCTCCTTATCTCACCTTTTTTATAATAGGTACCGCCAAGAAGCAGGTGACGATGGCCGGGGTGTCCAAAGCCCGCTGGGGTGTGTTCAGTGGACACATGCCCTTGAGGCTGTAGATGTAGATCTTCTGGTCCTGCAGAGGAGACGGTCAGCATGAGAGCTGGCTGCAACGGGCCTGCCAGCTCCCGGGGTGCACTTGGCCTCAGGAGGCCATTCACCCCTTGGGAAGTAACATTTATTGAGGGGTTCTGGTTGGCTGGTTTCATGTTTCTGTTCTTTCTAGAAACTCTGAAAACTACAGAACAGTCTAAAGAAAAACATAAAATCGTCCACAATCCAATATTCAGAGAAAGCCACCTTTGAAATCTGGGGCCCAGACTTCCAGTTTTCTACGTGTATTGGTGTGTGTCTGCATTCCCAACAGTGGGACCACACTGCTATGCTGTTTCCACGACGAGTGTGGGCAGAGGTTCTCTCCTCCCTGGTCTGTTAGGGAGTGAGGCATGTCCATCACTTGAGTACACCAGAATTTGGCTTATATGCTGTCAGATGTTTATTCTGTTCATTTTCACTACTATGAGTTGCACTGGAATGAGTATTCTTACACTCCTGTCTTGTCTGAGTGTTCCTGTGTTTGCCTGTCTTGGTTTTTTTCCTGAGAGCAAATTCTTAAAACTGAAATTACTAAGGCTTACAAGGCATGAATACTGTTGAGATTTCTGATGCATATTTGAACTATACTTGCCATCTGGAAAGGCTGCACCAATTCATATTCTCCTGCGCAGTAGCTTCAGATCATGTGTTTTTGTGGCATTCCTCTCTGGAGTCTCAAAAGATAGCTCCTTGTGCCTTCTGCTGACCTCTTTACATGAAAGCAAGAGGCCTCAGAGCTGAGTGGATTTGCTGTTAGGCAGGCGGTGTTATAAGAAACCCGGTCACTTCACCAGCCTACTAGGGTGAATCCCTCTTGCTGGGATTCTGCACTTGACACATCAAAGCTACATCCCAGCCACCAGTCAGGAACTAGGCGGGTGAGCCAGCCCTGTGAGTAAGTGTGTGAAGTTTCAAACGTTCCTGGGTGTCCTGCCTGTTTTGTTGCTAAACCTGACCCCCAGGGGTGGGAGTTTCCCACCTCCATTAGAGCCCTACAGGGGTGTGGTTACCTCGGTGGCCGTCCACAGCGAGTTCTGGATCTTGAGTTGGCAGCTCAGCTTCATTCCCGCACAGCTCATATGCTGCACTTCCAGAAGGCCCTTCTCCGTGTTCACCACCGTGTAGTTCCTACAAGCGGCAACAGCGATGCAGTCAGCATGGACCTCCCTCCCGAGGGCAGGCCTGGAGCAGCCTTGGAGGACAGCATCAGCTGTGGGTCTGGCCTACCCCTTCCAGCCCAGCGTCCAATTCTGCACGTTCTGAGGGGCTCAAGGCTGTGGCAGAGCCTGGTTCTACCTACCTCGTGATGCTTGAACATTTAGGCAGAGAAAGGCCATTCCCAAGAGGAAGAATGACCCCTCTCTCTGTGATCTTTGACAGCTCAAATAGTTGCATGAAGGGACACCGGGAGGCCATATGTGCACCACAGTCACTCCCTGCCCCCTCCCTGGGCATGTCCTCTCCCCGCCCCCAGGAGAGTACATCAGGTCCACTAGAGACACGGTGAGTGAGCTGCAGAGTAGACGGGGCAGGCAGCGGCAGGGGGGCCTCGAAAAAGCATAAGTGCCCTGAGAACTCACAAGCTGCTGTTTTCGAGGGTGGCCTTTCTCTCACCTGCCCACCCCTATGTCTCCCCGCATTGCCGTCTGTCCCCCCACCACCCTTGACGAACACCCCGTGTTGCTCACTGCCGCAGGGGAGCCTGCAACTGGGGCAGAGGTGGGTTATTCACCCAGGCCCTGCAGATCCGTCCTGCAGTCCAAGGGAGTAAAGTCAAGTGAGTGGCTAGCAGTTCTCAATGTAAAACTTTCCTGCCATCAAATTTTGGAAACCCTTGCCACAGTCGACTGATAATGTGTATTTGTAGATGATAGAGTTGAGTGAAAAATCAGCAAATGAAAACTTTCTTCAAAGTTATATTTCATTCCTCCTTTTCTGCAGTCTTTTTTCTATGAACTGAAAAGATAAAACTAGGATACTATAAATAACTTTACATTTAACTTGGAAAAAATTTAAAATATAGAGAAACCTACAGGATAACACTCCCCTATTCCCTCCAACAAGAATTTTATGTGTATCCTGTTTTCTGCACATACCCACTTCCTTCTTACCCCCTTTGTTGTTCAATTGCTAATTCACGTCTCTTTGCGACCCCATGGACTGCAGCACACCAGGCCTCCCTGTCCTGCACCGTCTCCCAGTGTCATCTGCTCAAGCTTATGTCCATTGAGTCGGTGCCCTTCTCCTCCCTAATTCAGGATGGTCTCATTTTCCCCTCAACTCTCGCTTTCCAGGATCACTGCCCTTTGTGCTCTGGTTTCAGTGAGCTTGTCCCTTCTTCAGGCTGGTGGTAAGCTTTTAAAACCTTCCCACATCACAGGGGCCTTTCCCTTCGCACTGGAGATGAGCTTTTACCGCTTTGGGCAGTGTTGTCTCCAAAACTGTGGGTGAGTCTGTAAGACTGAGATGGTAAAGAAAGCACCGTCGTGGGGCGGCAGGGACGGGGGAGGTGGGGCAGAGCTGATCCAGAAGCTGTGCCGAGCACAGAACCCCTGGGAAAGGCTCCTAGGTGTGCAAATGCTGGGTCAAAGGGCATGAGTATCTCAAGGCCATTTAAGACATACCAACAAATTGTTTTTCAGACAGACATGCAAATTTACATGCTTACCAGTAAGGTATGACCAATCTTTAGTAGTTTCCATTATTATGTTTGAAAACAAAGTTTGCCAATAGGATAAGAAAAAGGAATCTTGCAGATTCAATTTATATTTCTTTATTATCAGAAAGTTCAAATGTTAAAAAATATTCCTTGCCTATTTTATGACTGAGATTTTAGTATTTTTTCCCACCGATGTGTAAAAGTCTCTGAAATAAAGATAATAATTTCTAATTTTCTCTATTTGTTTAAAAGATTTTTGAGAGTCTGCTGAGAAAATAAATATTGGTGGGAAAATGGGATTTGTTTTTATATTTATATATCTGATGAGCATTTCATTTTATGTATACCCTTATATCCTTTAACAGTAAGAGGGCTTTATTTTCACAATAGACAGTATGCCTGCATTTCCTGGTCTTCTGAGAGTGTGACATTCCCCAAAAGCATTTGTGACATCAGGATGCTGTCTGTGCCCATGAAGGAGTTTGAAAACTAAGTGTGTGCTAAGTCACTTTAGTCGTGTCTGACTCTTTGCGACCCTCCGGACTGTAGCCTGCCAGGCTCCTCTGTCCATGGGATTTCCCAGGCAATAATACTGGAGTGGGTTGGCATTTTCTTCTCCATGGGATCTTCCAGACCCAGGGATTGAACCTGTGTCTTTTATGTCTCCTGCTATGTGCTGTCATTCAAACCAGAGGGCCCGGCCCCTCCCTCTCAACTCTTCCCTCCTTTCTTCTTTTGCAGAGTGCATATCATAGCCCATGCGCTCATCACCCAGCTTCAGTAACTGTCACTCTATGGCCATGTCAGTTCATCTCTGCCCCCATCCATTTTTTTCTCTCCCCAGATTCTTATGAAGCAAGTCCCCAGAATCATCTTTTTATCTAACTTTTATCTGTATTTATCTCTAAAAAATTATTAGAAAAAAAAAATAGAAAGCTAACCACAGTGCATGACCACACCTAAGAAGAGATGCTAATTCCTTAGTGTCATGAATGGCCAGTGTTCCATCTTCCCTAATTCTCTCATCGTTGCTTTCACAGTTTACTTGACCACATTTCCACTGATTTTTATGTCTCCAAGTCTTTTGATAGGCTTCCCTTCCCTATCTCATTCTCTCTGAGCAGGTCATGTGCTGAAGACAAGGGCGGAGCCCTGTGGAATTCCTGCAGCCCATCCTGAGTCTCAATTAGATTTCATCTGATTTCTTGGGCTAGAATACATCCTCATTAGGGTGTGTGCTTCTCTTGGGAGGCACACAATGTCGGGATCTCGCTCCCTCTGTGATTGTTACTGATCATTGCCGACGTCCATTATTTCAATAGGGATTACAAAATACTGCCATTCTAATTCTAGTATTTCTTCTCTATTTATTAGCTTCATTTACCCTAAAAAGAAAAACTTCCTCCTATCATCTCTTTTGCTAGCTACCCAGGGGCACAGCTTGAATAGAAAAGGCAGACTAAAACCTTGATTCTTTCCAGATAGACTAGTTTTCGAAATATTAAGTTTGTTCCCTAGGAGCCTCCAATGATGATAAATGAGGAGTTTTTAAAATTAAAAATCTTTTTAATTACTATTTTTATTAAGTAGCATTAGAAACTTGTGAATTTAAACAATTTGATGTGTCTCAATTTATTGTAGATATTTATTCTTGCTGAGGCTTGTTGCCCTCTCTTTGACCCATGGGAACCTCTTCAGGTTGGTTCCTGAGTCTGTTTGATCTGTCCTCACCGTCTCTGATGGCATCCTTGTTTCCAGAGTGTCCTATGTTTCAGGCCTACTTCCTCCCCCAAATCTGGAGTCAGTCACTTCTCCAGTAAGCTGTGGTTCTCCTGGCCCTTAGAGAGGACCATCTGCATCCTAGGGGGTCTCACTGGCATTTGGTCAGTCATTGTTTCTACGCCTTTTCAATGGGCAGAGCGAGGAAATATGAGTTCATTATTCTTAAAATACAAATCTATCCAATTTAAATTCAGAACTACAGAAGTTTTATTTAACCTGTTTTTTATATTTTACATGATAAATATCACAATTTGCAATGCATGGCATCAATATAATTACTCACTAACTTTACCCTATAGTTATAAGCAATGCCTTAAAATAGCAACACTACCACCACCATTATAATTACTGACTGTGTGTATATATACACACACACATATATATGTATTTTTAACATGGATATGGATATTTATGTATACACTGTTTACATATATACTTTTCTGTTTTTTAGGGCATGGTTTCTCAGAGCATGTCTTATGTCAGAATGCTCCATCACAGTGGCATAAAACCTGATGAAAACTTTACCAACAGTGACCTAAGTAAAATGGCAAAGTCCTTCTCATTTATTTCATTGCATCTTAAGCTTTGCTTCATCTAAGCCTTACCAGATTTGCACACCTGCACATATTTGCACTAGGCTTCCTAGAAAACAATTCATGCCATGAAAGGCTCTCCTGCTTCTGAAGATGTCACACTAGTTAGGTGGGAGAGTCCAGGACTGAAGCATCTCACATGGGATATACTTTTCTGCAGTCTCTGATGCTATCTTTCCAAATCCCTGGCCTCACTGTCCTTCTCCTTGAATGAATATGAAATCCTCTCCCCCAGACCCTTGTCCTTCCTGCCCCATCACTAAGAAGAGATGCCCCTGGAAGTTGGGTGGGCGGCAGCATGAATCTTTATATTGGGGAACCCTTTCTGCTTGACCAGGGGCCCCTTCCCTCCTCTCTACTCAGCACCTCCACTAGCACATTCCTCTCTTCCTGACCCTCAGCATCATTTACTTTCTCTGCCATTGAGCTGCAAGTAACTCCCACCTTAAAACATAACCCTCCCTTGACCCCTGCCCCTCATGTCCCAGGCAGACACCACATTTTCTCTGCTTCTCTTATTCACAAACCCACATGTGCTTGTCTGTATGCATGTGGACTGCTTTCTCTTTTAAGCAGACTCCATCAGGATTTCAACTCGCCATTTACTAAACATCTCTTGCCATGATCATCCACGACTGCTCCCCACCCACCGCTGCCCCCTACTCTGACACCAGCAGGTTATGGCAAGCCTCAGATGTTACCTGGACTCCTCCTTGCCTTCCCAGAACACCACCATGTACTCCTGGCCCTGGGATGAGAAGAAAGACGTCTGCTTCCCGCAGGGCAGTTGGTACATGAAGGTTGCAAAGGTCGGGTCCTTCATCTGGCTCACCACCGCCAGCGCCAGTGGTCGCTGAGGGAGAGAGGCCCACAGGGTCATGAGTGAGGGTCACTTACAACCAAATGGGTGCCCACTCTGTCCTCAAAACTAAGGGTCTTAAACCAGGAAGAAGTAGAATCTGCTCATTCAGGACCCAACCAAAACAAGAAGCCAAACCAACTTTAGATACCAGAAATAAACCCTTCCAAGCATCTGGGTCATCGTCATCCATGGCAACTCAAAACCAGGTGGTCAGGTTAGCATAAGCTCTGATATTCCAACTCCTGTGTCCAGGGACACACAGTCATAGAAGAATTTTTCTCAGACCTCATTTATTCTCAATAACCAAGTCTAATGTGATAAATGAGTTTTTACCCTGAAACCATTGATCTCTTCCAAAATCAACTAGCTTCAAAATGGTAATATGATAATATGATCCCTGCTTCTCATGAGCAAACTTTCTCCCCATTCCTTTAAAAAGAGATATGTACATTTGCACTGCTCTTGCCTGGGGGCTATACTGCTATAAAGGGGTTGGTTTGCTTAACATAAGAGTTGCATAACATAAAAGTTGGGGAGGAAAAGAGACTTCGTTTTTCCTGAGAGTGACACTCACACAAAGAAAATGAACTTGGTGCATCAGACTAATACATATCTCTTTGTAAGAGATGAACAAAGAAGGACCTACTTGTTTTAGACCCTCAGTGAAGAGTGGACAGGCAACCACACAGGTGTGCTCTGGAGACCCACCGCCCCCACCAGCTGCAGGAGCTGCGAGGCCCCAGGCTCTGGGACCCCAGGTACCTTCTCCGGCTTCGTATCCCAGCACTCCATCATTAGTGCCTGCAGTCGATGGAACTGCACTTCCTCTGGCTGACCCAGAACTGGGCGGATGCCCTTGGACAGTTTCTTGGCGATCTGAAGCTGGTGCTGGCCCAGTGCAGGCCGCTGTCCTGACAGCAACTCGTAGAGCACCATCCCATAGGAGAACATGTCTACCTGGGCAGAGAGGCAAGCCAAATCAGACACCCTGACCGGGCCCAGCAGATCTTGCAAGCTGGCCCTGAGAGAGAGGGAGTGGGGAGACACTTTAGAGAAGGAAAACGTGGGTTCTGCCCAAAGGAAGGCAATTATCAATTCACCAGTCCATCCACCTCTCCCCACCTGTCCAGGCATTCCACCAACCATCTGACCTTCCGTGATTCTGTCCCCTAATCCATCTATCTTCCAGTCCTTTTTCCCCTTCCTTCCTCCCTCCCACCTTTCTATGAATCCATCTATCTACCCACACACATGATCACTTGCTCTTCTGCACATTTATCTGTCCGTCTGTCCAATGTATCCATATATGCAGCCCTTTGACTGTCCTGCCCATTTACCCATCCATCTTCCCAAACTTCCTTCCATCCATCTACTAAACACATATGAAAACCTGGTGTCAAGCACTGCATAAGGGCTTGAAGGATGCCAAGGTACTTTCCCTTTATCAAAACAAGGCAGGAAAATGCAAACCCTTGGTTTAACATGCTTGATAGTAGGAGTACATGCAAATCACAAAAAAGGGGAAAGTCTCCCAGATCACAACATCTTGATTCATTTAAATGCCATGAAAAATCCCCTAAAGGAGAGAGTGACACAGGTCTTCATAAAGGTCAAGAAATAACCTTATAGCAGGAGAATCGCTAAGATAGACCTGAGCATTTTCAATGTGAAGGTTCTGTTATAAACTTAGTTATGAGGCGCTTTGCCACCTGCTACACAGAAGCTTATTTTTGTCACTCTGATTTGTCTTTTCTATCTTGGTTAATAGCCACGGTGCTGAGTTAACATGCTTGGGTCATTCGTGAAGCCATCACGGATGATGGCTCAATGAGTCAATGATTCATCTGCAGGTACCAAATAATGAGAAATTATAGACAAGAGGAGTTTCACTGCTGGATGACTAATTAGCCAGGGCCAGCCCCAGATGCAAGGTGAGCACTGCAAGAGAGTTTGAAGTTGTCCTTTAGCTGCACCTACCAAACAGTCCTCAGGGAAGAAGGCCTCGTCCCAGTCAAGGCTGGCCATGCGGCCGTCTAGGAGGCCGTGCTGGACCTGCCAGAATCACTCTCTCCTCTTGGCTTTAGTGACGCTGCCTTTTGATTTGACCAGGAGCCTTTAGCATCCTTATCTCTCTGTCCCTCACAAGCCACTGTGAGGCTGGTCCTCTGTCCCCCTTTTGCATATCTGACTGGCAGAACTGGGGCCCATATCTGGGCGTGTCTCCGTCTTAGAATTTTTGTCCACTGTGCACAGCCTCTACTATGTTTCTGAACTGAGGTTTGAGAATTCTGGGGTTTGGTCACTGTTCTGCAGCTAAGGAGAAGTCACCCTTGATGTTTCTAGGTGGCCTCTGTGCCCTTCTGGTTCATTGCAGGGCCTCCCGGTCGAGCACGGGAGAGGAGAGATGTGTGCCTGAGGGTGTGTAGAGCCCAGAGCTGCAGGTGCCCCGGGACCAGGCCATCCCGGGTCAGGGGACTGCCCTGGGCTCGCCTGTACCTTCTCGTCATACACGATGCGAGGCCGGATCTCCGGGGCCTGGTAGCCGGGAGTGCCCTCCACACCGAGGGCGCCCTCGTGGAACGATTGCCGGGAGATGCCGTAGTCGGATAGCTTGATGTTGATGTGCTCCTTGATGTCCAGAGACCAGACCAGGATGTTGTCGGACTTTAGGTCACAGAAGATGATGTTTTTCTTGTGCAGGTAGGCCAGGCCAGAGGCTATCTGGTAGGCTATTTTTTGGGTGAGCATGTGTCCCAGGGGCATAAAGGAGGAATCTTGGCAAAGAAAAAATATCAAACTATTATCATAACAACTCTTCTTTTCTTACCTCTGTCTTCCTCAATATTTTATATTCTACGGATGCATTCTCCTTGTTCTCCAGGCTGGGTGCCAGAAGAGACACAGGACGACTTTCTTAAGATGATTTAGGTTAGAAATGCTTGTTGTGAGTGCTTCATTCATGGTATCTCATGCCTGCAGTGGTTGGTGTTTTCACTAAAAAAAGCCAGGATTCAAAATTCCTAGAGTTCACCTCAGGCCAAGATTGCTATAATGTCAAGGAGTGAGCTGCAGGTATGAGAACTCCATTAAAAAAAATCTCCTCCGTTGAGGGGGAAATAATTAATTTTAATTGCGTTATTCTTCCTGAGTTAAAAGACAGCTATCACTTTCCCTCTGTCAACTCTTTGGCATTTAGTTACCCATTTCTTAGGGTAAGTTTTCTAAAGGTTTGTTAAGAAAACAATGTAGAATAAAGCTGACTGCAGGGCCTCAGATGTTTAACCATGGTGGATGGACACGGTGCCCTGTGGGCAGAGAGAGGCTTGAGCGGCTGCTGGCTTCCCAGGCTCTGCCGCTTGGGGCTGCCTCTTTTGATGGTCTCGCTGCCCTCCAAGGGGGGCTATTACTTCCTTTTAAGGATGAGTAAATGAAGCAACTTGCCAGATTATGGCAGAGAACCTGCACTCAGAACACAGTTCTGTCTGGCTCTAAACAGAGAGCTCCTCCAGCCATGACAACGCCACTGCCTGGCACTTAGGCCTGGAGAAGCTCTCCTGTTTCCACCGGGCGTGGCACACGAGACTCCAGCAGCTGTGCCCGGCCCCGGCTGGCTCCCTGGGCCCTGTGCTGCCCACCACGGGCCCTCGGGCCTCCCCGGGGGTGGACCGGGCAGGGCCCCAGGCAGCCCTCCGTGGAAGATTCTAGGTGCAGCGCGTACCTCTGGCATTCTCAGACAGCACGGTGTTGAGGCTGCCCAGGGGGGCGAGCTCCAGTGCGAAGCAGAGTGGGTGGATGCTGATGCCGATGAGCGACACGATGCAGGGGTGCTGCAGGGCGTGCAGCATGCTGGCCTCCTGCCGGAACTCCGAGAAGTTCCTCATGGCGTCGGTGGCCCGCAGGTGCCTCAGCATGGTATCTGCGGGGAGAGCTCGGCCGTCAGCGCTGCCCAGGGTGGGGGCTCCGCCAGGCTCGGAGCCACCTCTCGGGGACTCCTGGGGCTGGCCGGGGCCAAGACTTGCCTCTCCGGGGGCTGCAGTATCGTCACCCAGAATTGGGCGCCAAATGGGGGCACTCCTGAGGCATCCGGGCTTGTATCAAGCCCCCTCCTTGGGCGCTATTCTTATCAGGTGCTACACTGGGTGTTCCGGACCCTCTGATGAAGGGCCGCACACTCCCACCCTCATCACCCACTCTCTGCACACCCCCCAGCCTGCTGTTCACCGTCTAAGGCTCTCAGCCGCATCTCATTCCAAACCTGCAGCCCTGAGTGTCACCTAGAGCCTGGCAAAGTAACCAAGCCCCCTCCACTCATCTGCAAGGATGCTGGGGGAGTGGTCACTGCTGCCCACCTTACCCCTGCCAGGGGCCAGGACCGTGGAAGGCAGAGCGGACTACCGCCCTCTTGTCGGCCAGAAGGAAAACCACAGGGTGGTCATGGCCTGTGACAGGTCATCTCAGGCCAAAGAAGGAGCGTCTGGAGCACTGGTGGGCTGTGCTGTAACATTCTCCCAGCGCTCTCGCAATGCACCCCACATGGAAGGCGTTTGCCTGAGTCCCGCTGAGGGGTCACCCTGAGGTCACTGAGCAGTATCCACCCGGTCCTGCTTGTCCTCTTGGGTCCTGATCTGTCCCTCCCCTGTTCAGATTTTAAAATCAGGAATCACTGGACATGGAAGTTAAAACAGCAGAAAGAAAATCTTGGCAGTTAAAATGGATCAATTGTGCCAGATGGATGTGTGTGCCAGACAAATTTGTTTTTAAGTGTAAAAGTTGTTTTTCACATTGGGCCTTTAAACCATTAATCATGTATTTTTGACTATGGCTGAAGTCTCTGCCCCAGTTTAGTGAACAGCCAGCCTTTCTCTTGACTCCCGATGTTGCCTCTGTCGTGTGCCAGCCTCTCACGTACATGCAGGCTCTCTCTGTTCCCGACAGGCCCAGCCGTGCCCAGGGGTACCCTGCCTTAATGCCTGGAGCCTGGTAAGTCAGGATGTTTGCCGGGCAAGCCTCTCCTCTTTGTCTTCCATCATGGAGTTTTCCTGGCTACTCTTGGGTGTTTGTCATTTCACATGCATTTTCTTTTTCTTTCAATTTTAATTTATTTATTTGGCCCTGCTGCATGGCATACAGGATCTTAGTTCCCTGGCTAGGGAGTGACCCCCTGCCCCCTACAGTGGAAACACAAAGTCTTAACCACTGGACCACCAGGGAAGTTCCGACATGAATTTTAGAGTCAGTCAGATTTCTCTCTCTTTCTCTCTCTGTCTCTCACACACACACACTGCTGGAATTTAGATGAGAACTAAACTGAATGATAGCTATTAATTATTTCTCAGTACCTTGTAGCTTAATGGCCGCCACAGAAGCATTGTCTAATGGGTCACTGTTGCCAAATTTGATGTTGAGCTCACATCTAGCAGCTTTATCACACTCTTACTGGCTCTGACGCATGTTACTAGTCTCTTAGGTTTCCATTCTCGTCCCATGCCTACAGTTTGTCTCTTCCTTTCTAATCTGTTTCTTCATATTGTTCCACGATTCTAATTTTTCTACCAAGAGTGTAAATTCCTTCTGTGATCATGACGATAACCATGCTAAGCCAGGGGCAATGAGAAATGCAACACCCAGCAGCTGGAAGGTAGAAGGCTTCCACGGGCTTGCCTTCGGTGGGCACGAGGTGGTGGCAGGTGGCTCTGGAGCACCTCTGAGCTGCCATGATGAGTGGGCAAGGGCAGGAGGGGAGGAGGTGAGGGAGAAGCTACCCACAATGGCTCCCCAATCCACACATCTGGAGTGCCCACCATCCTTCCCTTAGTAATTGCGTGGGGGAGGGGCCCCCAAGGGGTCCACTTGAGGTCTTTGTGCCCAGCATGTGGGCACCGTGCTGGGCATGCAACAGATGGAAATTTTAAGGATGGCCCTTGCTCTTGGGGGCTCATGTCAGACAAGAAAGTCACCTCCGAAAGCAATTTCTAGTCTGTGCTCAGCCTGATCCTTAGTCCTGGCCCACGTCTCACCAGGCATAAAGCAGGACCACCCCTGGGGCCCACACTGGCATCACCCCCCTCCTCCACTGCCTGTGTGGCCTCGGGCATCTAAGGTGGTACAGGTTTGGACCAAGGGAAGACATGTCTGAAAAGAAACAACCCAGGGCCCTGTTTACCTGCAGGGGCATTTGCAAAGTTCTTGAATTTCTTGATCTGGAATCGCTTCACAGCCACAGGCTGACCTTGGTACCTGGCCCGGTAGATGACGGTGCCACTCCCACCTTGGCCCAGGACGGCGCTCTCATCCTCACTGTGCTCCAGCTTGCTGTTCTCCAGGAAGAGCCTGCCAGGAACACCGTGTGTGTGCCGGGGGGTCAGAATAGACCTCCCTCCTGCCCCATGTTTCCCCAAAGATGCCCACTAAAGCTAGAGGTGGGTCCTGGCCTGGGCGGGTGCAAGAATGTGCTTGGCTATCAGTTCCCACTGAGCAAAGTCAGGGTTCAAAGCCACCTGGTGGGGGGGTCAGAGAGAGCTGGGATTTATCTAAGTGATCTGGGTAGATCACTTAGCTTCAATAAGCCTTGGTCTCCTCTGGAAAGTGGATTCATAACAGGAATGGTCTGAGGTGGGAATGCTGACTGGTATAGGATAGAGCTTCCAAAGTGTTGCACACAGAAAAAGAATTCCTGTGGACATTTTCATCCAGAAGACTCTATGCTTTAAGAGTTAGTATCTATTGGAAATTGCATTTATTTATTGCTAGGTTAGTTGTCTCACTTCTTATTATTAAGCCGGTAATTATATAAATGGGCATGTAGAGCTTCTGGTCAGTGTGGCTAGTGTCCCGACAACTGATAGCTAGGATTTCACCCAAAAGCAGGGATTTTAGACCTTCCCACCTGTTTGTATGTTATAATCCTAGATCAAAGGAAGACTTCTGTTGGAAGTAGTCACTCCTGGGAGGGAGGGAAGGCAGATGGGGGGAGGGAGGAAGGGAGGGTGGCGGGCGAGCACCCCAATGTCCTCCCATCTCAGGGTCCCCCCAGCACTGCAGAGGTCCCCAGTTCTTACTCCTTAGCTTCCTCTGCCAGGTGCCTCCACTGGAGCTCTCCTGACCAAACAGACTGACCCCTTCTGCCCCCCATCACCACGTAGTCTTGCCCACACCTTCCAGGAACAGACTGTGCAACAGATGAGTCTCTGTACAGCCCAACCACATCACACTCCAGGCAGATGCAACTGTACCCATGGTGGACCTTGGTGATGCAGCTGAAGAGGAACTGGGCTGTTCTCCAAATGCCCACCCCAAAACCACCTGTTCAGGAAGTGCAGTCCTTGGGAGCCTCCTGAGATGGGGATCAGTGGGAATACTGGAGACCCCTCAGGGCCTTCCGTCAGGACTCCTGAATAGGGACACAGGACGGGTTTCTGCGGAGCCAGACTCTCCCTACCTGCACCTGCCCGAACTCCCAGCTGGGGAGTGTGATGCTGTGAGGTCCTGGTGGGACATCAGCCGAAGTTTGCAGAGAGTCTGTGCTGGACTGTGAACCCTGTGCAGATTCTTGGGTTTTTCAACTCCCAGCCAAGTACTTTGGTTTAAGAACCATGCTTCAGCTTGTAATTAGATCCAAACCAACAGGAACAACCAACCTGGCTTCCTAGATTCCATATAGTAGATTCCAGAGCCCAGATTCAGTGGGGGCATAAAACATAAAAAAGTTTCAGCAAATAAAATGCTAAAATTTGGGGCTGCTTAATTGGGCATCCCATCATGAAATTTGATTCAAACGTATATAAAACTCTGTATGTGGTCTCCAAGAGGTGATGACCCTTATGTTATTTTTTTTTTCTTTTCTTTTTTTTTTAATGTTAAGGTTTTTTTTTTTTTTTTTAAGTGGGTGGTAATTTTATTTTTATTTATTTATTTTGCATTGGTGAACTGAGGTTTTCATTTTTTTTTTTTTTACATTGCAGTGGTTTTTGTCATACATTGAATTATTGAATTATTATAATTCATACAATGAATTAGCCATGGATTTACATGTGACCCTTATGTTAAAGATCTCAGAATAAAGGGAAGTTATTTCACAGAAGAGTAGTATTGAATTTTCATTTCCACCAATGAGGTAACCGGGGAATAGGAAAAAGAACCGTGGGGGAAATTTCTCCAATGTAGGAAGTGGTTTCTTAGTTTAATAGACTCATCCAGAAGCCTGTTTTGGAGTCACAATTCTGCAGTATCAGAGTACTCTACATCCATTTTCTTGGGTCAGGGAAACAATTTGGAAAAAATGGTGATACAAATATTCTTACACCCCCAAGTTTAATTTTCTTTAAAGAAATCAGATAGAGGAATTCTTTGAATAAGAAAACAACTCCAAAACACTCCAAAAACACTGCTAACTACCAAGGTCAAATTGTATCCAGGGAGACCAAATCATGGCTTCTGGTTTCCATGACTACTTGGATTCTGTGATGGCTTCCTATAGGATGGGACCACAAAGTGTTTTTTCTTTTCTCCAACATTATCTCCCCAGTTATTATCTTAGATTAGTATAGGTAGACTCATCTTTAGGGACAGATTCAGGGGGTCTAAATGCTCAGCACCAGAGCAGCAGTAAGGAGTCATTATTTGCCAAGAAAGGAAAAAGAGGTGGCAGGTCTGGGAGCACTTCCTTCTTGGACACCCATGGATGTTTGTCTTCTGTTCCTTGATCTGGAGGCAAAGCAGGAGTCAGAGAGGAGGGCCAGCTCAATGGGAAAGAGTGCCAGCTACTGTGAGGGTGAGAGGGGGTGGGGCCCCCAAGGTGACTTTGCCCTCCAAGTGGTCTGCCTGCTGGCTGGGCCTGTGTGCCTCACAAACAGAGCGCGACAGCCTGGCTCCCTTTAGGCAGCCTAGGCCAGGAACCTAGACATCACCCAGGGCCGCATGGGAAGCAGCAGGTCTGCTCGTCAGCATGGAGGCCTACCTGGCCGGGAAGTCAGTCATGAACAGCTCGGGGACCAGCTCCTGGAGAGGCACTGGGAGGTCAGGGTGCCTGGGGCAGGAGATGAAGTCCCGCTCGATGGCTGTCAGCACGCAGTCTTCCATGTCGAAGTACTGCACGTCCTCTGATCTCTCACTGGGGTTGCTGTGCTGAGCCCAGGAGGCCTCGCAGACTGGGCAGGGCACATATTGCTCCATCAGTGGGGTCCCGTCACTTTCCGTAGCCGTCAGGGCTAAACAGGGACAGGGCGGGCGTCAGCTCACCTGAAGGCAGCTGCCGGCGGGCCCTGAGCAGCACCTGCACCCCCCGGCTGGGTGGGCCTTTTGCAAGAGGCGGGGGTCTGCCTACCCTGGCCTGAACCCCCAGGAGAGGCTGAAATGTGACTGCCACACTCTGGTTCCTTTCTGGAGGGCACTATCCTCAATCCTAAAAGACACTCACAAGGAGGGGCCAGCGATGCACTGGACAGTCGCCAAGGGGTGCAGACCCTGAGTTAGCTGGGCGAGGAGGTGCTGAGTTTGGGGATCCCTGTGCAGGACGCTGCAGGCTGGGTCTGAGCTACGCCACACCCAAATGACCAAGCCACAATCTGCAAGGAGCTGTTCTTAAAATTACCTTCTCTTAGGCCCCTTTCTACGCCTTTTCTCCTTGTAGGTCACCGTTCTCGTCAACATGCAAAGGACACCAGACCCTGGCGTCCAGAGCATGCCCAACCCTGTCTCTTGTTTGCTGTGATGCTCTCCTGGGTAGCCAGCTCAGGCGGCCAGAGGGCTGGACCAGCAGGCCAGAGGGGGTGCTCTGTTCTCTCGGTCTCTAGCCTTGCAGCGCTCACAGGGAAGAAGTGGCCTGGTTTTGCTCAAACGGCCTCCTCCGTGCGGGATACCCCGCAGTGGGTTTGTCTCCAGTTCAGTAACAAAACAAACAGAGGACCTCAATGGCTCTACTTCAAAAAGTATTTTCTTTGGGTGGACTGTCAGTGAAGAAGCTGATCAAAGGGGCTGGAAAGGGCTCCGTGGGTGGCTGATCACTGCTGGGACTTGGGGGTTTGGGGTAGGCATGGAAGGAGAATGGGGGCTCTTGGCAGCTGTTTGTGGTGGCTTCCCTCCCACCCCTGTGCAAGGGCAGTTTCAGGCTCTCCTCTGGATTTCAGCAGCTTTGTCCTCACCATGTAAACAAGACCATGTGAGGCTCTTATCGACGGTCCTCCTAGACCACGTGCGGTACCTGGGGCATTCTTCCTACAGGCTGCAGTGCCAGCCTGTAGGCACCTCCCCTCCAGGTCCACATCTCCCCCATGGCACCTCCGCCTATGCCTACAGTTGGACCCCCAGGGCTCAGGACTCCATCAGAGGGCTGCTAGGATCCTCTGGTTTCCTTGGGCTGAATCCCAGTGGGATTTCTGTTCTCCAAATGAGCCCCAGCCCAGTTTATAAAGAAATACTACCACAAGCCAAGGCCTGGTTCAAGAATTCTTTCTTACCGGGAAACCACTGATCAATCAAGGAGTTGACATGGTCTGTGATAAAAGCCATTGCCGAGAAGTCCCTTATTTCTGATTGGCACATGATTTTTATTCCTCCACTTTTTTTCTTTTTCCAGTTCACATCTGAGGATTCCACACTGCAACCCAGAAACCAAAAGAGGTCCATTGCAATTGGCTGTGAAGGGCCCTGGGGTAAGCTCTCCGCCTCCAGCGTGAGGGCACAGTTCCCAGGAGACCGCTCCCAGGGGGGGAGGTCCTGAGTCCCTGCACTTGTGTGCATGGCCCTGCCTCGTCCCCCGGCTGCCCCCAAATGGGGAGGTGGACACGAGGACCTTGCCACAAGGGGTGCTCAGGCTGAGCTCTGAGCCTTAGATGTGACCCTGGGGAAGGGCTTCCCATCTGAGCCACAGAGCTTTCGTCCACTGAGTGATGACTGTGTGCTTTAAGTGGGAGCCTTACCTGAAAGCCCCAGGCACCAAGCGTGGCCCAAATCCCAAATCAAGCCCTCACAATAGTCACTCTCCCCTCTCCCCTCTCTTCTCACAGAGCTGAAAAATATTTGGAAAAACTCACTTAAAGTATGAAATAATCTTGCATATACTAAATTAAACCAAATAAAAATCAGTTATTAACCTGTTGAGCTGCCTTTTTCTCTCCCTCTCTCTCTTCCCCACCACCAAAATAAAAAGAGAAAATAGGAAAAATGTACTGTTAGGTATCACGGGATGTGGTCTGGGGACAGTGTCTGCTCTGGGGCGCCCTCTTAGGACGAGGGTGTGTGTGCTGGATGGCTGGGAACAGTGTCTGCCCCTGGGGTGCCCGCTCTTGCATGAGGCGGGGGTGCGCTGGACGGCTGGGGACAGTGTCTGTCCCTGGGGCGCCCTCTCTTGCATGAGGCAGGGGTGCGCTGGACGGCTGGGGACAGTGTCTGCCCCTGGGGCGCCCGCTCTTGCATGAGGCGGGGGTGCGCGGGACAGCTGCGAGGCTCCTGAGGACTACCCTCAGTGACCGGGGTGCTGGGTGCTCCAACCCTGAGCTCTGCCTTCCTGCCTGGCTTGGTCCCCACACCCTCCCTGGCCTTTGTTGTTCTGTCAGGAGAGAGGGGGAGGAGGGAGGAGACGGGGACCCTCTCAGACATTTGCCAGGGGGCCTTCCTATTTCCAGCAAGCTTCCATGATGCACTGCCCTTGGGAACGGGGCTCTGCACACCAAGCGGACAGGCATTCAGTGGCAGCTCTCCTGGGGGTCGTTTCCAGTGCGCCATGGAGGCCGAGTCAGGTGAGCCCCTCCTGCACCTACCTGAGGTAGCCCCCATCAAAAGTGACCAGGAGCCCCTCCTGCCAATAGATGGTCTGGTTCCTTTTCACTCTGAATGTGCTGCAACGATTTCTCTGGTTTCCTGTAAAACTATAAATGGTGACTTTCCTGTGCCTGCTCTTAGTGTTCTTCCTGTTTTCAAACAGCTGAAAGACAGAGAAAAGACCCTGCTTCAGTATTCTGGGCTCCGTGCTGGTCCTGGGCAGAGCTGTGAGAAGGCCGGCCTGGCCCCATCTGGACAAAGGACACTGCCTGTCTTCCCGCCCCCCTGCCCTCCGCACCCTCATCTTGCTGCCAAACGAAATGCTGCATCATCTGAAGGAGTCTCCAGGATACTCTGGGAACACATTTTCCCTAAAACACTGAAAACAGGCTTTTCTTTTCCCTCCCTGATTTTACAAGCAAAAAGTTACCTTAGAAAATGTGGAAATTACAGAGAAACATGAGAGAAAATAAAATACCAATTTAACACACAGGTCATGAAAATTTTGGTGTATCTTATTCTAGGTTTTTTCCTATCTACCTGTAATGTTTATAAAACAGCTGAGGCCATATTTTGTAACTTTGCATTTCTAAATTTCTAATTGTGTGTACTTTGAAAAACTTTGCTTTTCCTGTCTCAATAGAAACTCATAAAATTCATTTTTCTAAATCTCAATATTTTATTAAGTAATTTGTTGAGTCATTCTCTTCTTTGGACTTTTAGATTGGTTCCAGTCTTTTGCTCTTCTGGATAAGCCAAATGAACATAAAAAAAGCAGCGCTTTCTCTGATTTCAAATGACTGCTATAGTTCAGATTTATAGCGGTAGGATTACTGGGTCAAAGGGCTTGAACGTCTTCAGGCTCTGGATTCTCAGTGACGAATCGCTTCCAGGGTGACTAAGTTGTATGTCCACTCACCATGACGTGCGAACTTCCCTGATTGCGGGGCTGGCTGTCAGCTCTCTGCTAATTTGATAGGTGAAAAGTAGTATATTATCCATGCTTGAATCTGCATACCTTTAATTACTTCTGAGACTGAATTCCGGCAGAGCTTCTCTTCCTAATTCTGAGTGGGGGATGCTGTTGTGAAGGGCGCCCACCCGGCCAGCCACTGAGCCCCTTTGGGAGCTCAGGCCTCACACGATGCCGTGCTCGGGGTGACCTCCCACTTAGAACATGGCAGGAAGCAGAGTTCAAAGGAGGGAGAGTGACCGAGCGGGAACACTGGGAGAGCCGGCCCTGCGCCCACTCCTTCCGTCTGTCAGTGCACCCAACTGGGTTGCTAACCAGCCTCCTTCCTGATGACACAAGCTGTGAGAGGTTTTGGTACTTTCAGGCTCTTGCATTTACTTTTGAACATTTCAGTAAAATGGGAAGATCAAAGAATATCTCTGTTTAATAGGCAGGAAGTTTAATTCCATAAGGGCCTTATAACTTGAACATGGCAAAAGCAAACTCATACTGAGTTTACTGTCCATTATTCAACAATCCTGGCTTATGTCAGGGGTTCTCACAGGGCGAAGTAGGCTGGAATTCTCTGGAAGGCTGATAAACAGAGCCCTGAGTTCTATGGTTTCTGATGCAGCAGGTTTGGAGCAGGCCTGAGGGCTTCCCGGATAGCTCAATTGGTAAAGAATCCGCCTGCAATGCAGGAAACCCTGGTTTAATTCCTGGATTGGGAAGATCTGCTGGAGAAGGGAAAGGCTACCCACTCCAGTATTCTTGGGCTTCCCTTGTGGCTCAGCTGGTAAAGAATCCGCCTGCAATGCGTGAGACCTGGATTTGATCCCTGGATTGGGAAGATCCCCTGGAGAAGGGAAAGGCTACCCACTCCAGTATTCTGGCCTGGAGAATTCCATGGACTGTATAGTCTAAGGGGTCACAAAGAGTCGGACACAACTGAGTGACTTTCAGTGCAGATTCACTTTGAGAATCTGGACTTCTAACAAGTTCCCAAGGGAGGCTGATTCAGCTGGCCCAGGAACCCCACTTTGAGAACCACAGATTCTGGCCAACTACCACTTCTGTATTATTGTCCTGAATGAAATGAATATGGACTGATAGCCAAGATCTCCTCCAACAACCCCAGGTGAACCCACAGAAAAGAGCTAATTCGGTTAGTTAGGGCTTTACTCCTCCCAGACCAAGTTAAAGTTCTACGCTAGTGGTTCTCAAGCCTGAGTAGACAGTAGAGTCAGCTGGAGAGCTTTAAAAAATGATCCCTGTGAGTCGCACCCACAGATTCTGACTTGTTGGTCTGTGTCTATGAAGAGCTCCCCAGTGGAATTCAGCCACAGCCTGAATGGCAAAACCAAGGTTCTCCAGGCGTCACTCCCGAGCAGCAGCATGCTCAAGGTCAGTGCTGGGATAAGCAGACTCTGAGTCCCGGCCCACAGCCACACAGCCAGGGAATGTGGATGTTGGTAACACTAGAACCACTGCTCCTCATGGGATAGTCTGTCCAAGCCAGCTAGGTGCTGATTTGGCATTCATAAAATTACTCAAGTGGGTCTGTGGCCCACAGGAAGAGGAGGCAGCCGCGTTGTACCAGCCTCCAGACCCTAAGCCAGCAGTTCTGCTGCAGGAAAGGGTCTTCAGTCAGGCTTCCCCCTCCCACTGCCACCAGGGCATAGCCACAGGTGCTTGGCCTGCAAGCGAATAGTGCCCTGTGCAGAGAACACAACTACCTGGAGGTCCATCTCTGCCAAGCTGATCAGCATCCGTGCTATAAACCTCTGCCAGAAGCCAACCGGAACGAAGCTCATCTTAAACACTCTCTGAATGGTGTTGGCTGTGGGGTGCCGCATGCCGTGGGTGTCCAGGCCAGGTTTGGATGGAAGGAGATGAGGCAGGAGATAGCTGAAACACCAAAGGGGGCTGGTGAATGGGGGCCTGAGCTCTGCTGTGGGGCTCTGATCCCTGAAGACCACCTGGCCAGGGGTGGGCTCTGTTGAAACAGCTCAGGTTGCCCGATGCTTTCCCCCCAGGACCTTTGGAACCATTTTTAGAAAGAGGCGGTAGTTTATATGGTGAGCATAAATACTCCAAGAGAAAATGAAGATAGGCATAGCAAATCAGTTTGTCGAAGTCCCTAAGATAGAGACTAGAACACAGCTACAGAAGACATGAAAACAACTGTGGTCATAATCACAGACACAACAAATCACAGTTGATTCTCTGTAAAACGGGCTGCGATTGGGGAGTCACTTAAAATTAACTTCGGATGGTGAAGGAAAAACAAATACAGCTGCACAGTTCCAAGGACAAGATATTGGGGTCAGAGAAACATCTTTGGCCTTAGAAGCTATTTATTGTTCTTGGCCAGTTGAGACAACACAATTACCTAGAAATTTCGAATGAGGCTCTTTGTGCAAAAGAACGATGTTTTATAAGAGCACTCTTACTCATAAAAGCACTGAATCACAGTGTCAGTGAGCTGTTCATGACTGTGATCATTTGCAAAAAGCTGAAATGAGGGAGGTCCCTCCAATAATTCCCTGAAAACCAGCATCTTCTGTGTGTCCTGGAGGAGCTAAGGTGGCCTTGGGCAGAGCCTTGGGTGTGTCCTTAAAGGCTTGCCTTCAGTTCTCCTAATCCTCTAAAATTCCATCAGTTTAGGTCCTATAAAATGTCTTTAGGGCTTCTGAAAGGAACCCCTGAAGACACTGAAAATTCAAAGACAGCCTGGGGGTGGAGTACCCAGGGTGTCTTCAGCACACGGCTCAATCCCATTGCCATTCTGCTTCCTTGATGGCAAAAGAGTGAGGATGCTAGCCTTGTAGGGTTAGAGAAGGATGGGCAGTGGCTGTGCAGGTGAGGTCCAAGGGGACAGATGGTGAGGTCCAAAGGGGACAGATGGTGAGGTCCAAGGGGACAGATGGCGAGGTTTTGGTCTTTTTCAGCCATTACAGGTCTTGGCCCAAAGGACCTTGTCAATAACCCCAGCTGGAGTGCCCCTCTCCACAGCCTGGCATTCTCTGGCAGATGCCTTTCAGTCCTGAGAAGTCCTTGTTTATCTCTCTAACCTCAAACAGGAGGACCTGGTCAGTGCCCAGTGAGACCTAGCCTGCTTCTTCTGCCTACATCATGCTCTGCTTGGGACCTGGGACTTCCTGACTCTATGTGGCCGGTGTGCCCTGAGGGAGGGGGCATGCTCTGTACCCAGGTGCCCCAGCATGCGGCACACACAGCAGGTGTTCAATATTTTTGAAGGTACAGACAACTTGAAAGCCAGCACGGCAAGTGGAGAGGTTTAAACTGATGGACAAAGGAAGCCCTTCTCAAAGGGAGTGGAGCCCTGGGCAAAACCACTGGCATCGGCTTGAGAGCAGCCACTAACAGGGCAGGGCTGCCTGGGGAGTGAGTTCGGGGAACTAAGGGGGAAGTTCTTCGTGTGCCTGTTGACTAAAGCCAAGAAGACCTGGGCACTGCAGGGGGTTTGCACTAGTAGAGCCGGCCCGTGACACGTTCCAAGGCTGTCTCAGCAGTTGGGTCAGAGCCTTCCGGAGTGCTGAGAGCCAGTGCGTCCCCCCTTGGAAGAAGCGCAAACACTCAGAAGTGTAGGGAGGTTTAGAAACGCCCTGAAGGTTTTCCCAGGGACTGCAGATTGAAAGCCACACTCTAAAAGGAGCAGCAAATGCCTTTGTTTTTGTTGACCATATAAAAGCTTATGGTGCAAAGAACTGAAACTCCTTGCCTCTGGGGTACAAGGGACCCATTATACCTACACTTAGAGGTAGGTATAATGCTCAGACACTCCTGACTTTAGATGGAACTAGACACCATTGGCTACGAGTACTTTAACGCAAAGATAGTAACAATAACAGCATTGACGACCCTGAAGCTCAAAGGTGCAGGAGATATGTTTCATAGTTCACAGGTACTCTCTGATTTAATCCTCGCATTGACTATAATACTAGTAGGTGATAGTATTATTTCTATTTCACATACGAGCAAAAAAAAAGAGGCAGTTGCTTTTACAGAGTATTTCCTCATTCCTCTAACCTGTTGATAAAATAATCAGAAAACTGTCAAATTCTGGCAGTGCTGTAAACACACAGCCTGCTTTACCAGGGGTCAAAGTCAAGGACACCTGGGCCAGGACATGAGGTGTCATGTGGATTCTGAATTCCTCTTTGGGGTTTCTCTTTTTAGGACTCACTCTTGGTCCCCATGGGGCTGAAGCAGGAAGGACTGAGGCCCCTCCCATAGTCATTAGACCAAGTGGAAATCTGGGTGGGAGCTCAGGCAGAGACGGACCACAGCTGGCTCCCAAGAGACCCAGTCTGTGCTGATGAAATGTAAATCCATGGCTAATTCATTTCAATGTATGACAAAAACTACTGCAATGATGTAAAGTAATTAGCCTCCAACTAATAAAAATAAATGAAAAAAAAAAAAAAAAAGAAATTGTTCAGCTGGCCACACAGGGGCCAGGCCAGCCTTCCGAGAGTCCAGAGGGTGTTCCCCCGGAGCTCTGGGGTTAAGGGGCCGGGTAGTGCTGTGTTCTATGACAGGCATCAGAAGGGTTTGGGGATTTGGCATCCTGGCTACTGCCTCACCGCCAACATCAGCATCAGACCCATGAAGTGGCTGAAACTGAAGTTACAGCAAGGAGGCCCTGAGAACCAAGCCAGAGCGCCGTTAGATTGAACCCACATACCCCTCAAGTTCCTGCCCTCCCTACATTTTGAAACTAGGCTGTAGAGTTAGCATGCACACTTTTGTACTCCATTTTTATTCATCACAGAACCGATAACCACCCAAAGCATGAACTCCCCAAAGTCACTTTTAAGGCCCATTGCCATGCTTACACATTTTCCTACGATTTTCCAATAAATGGGTTTCTTTGAACCCCCCGAACAGAGACACCCAAGGCACAGGGAGGGGCAGCCAGCGGGGGAGCGGCTGAGCCCGACCACCCTGCCCCAGCCCAGGCAGGCAGCCACCGTGAGGGCCCATCCTTGGACACCTTGTCAGACCACCAGGGGCCCCGCCCTAATTCCCGGCTCGGCCCAGTCCCAGCCTCACCTGTCGTTGGCGACGGGCAGGGCGATCTCAAATTTGGCCAGGAACTGGAAATACTGTTCTTCCGTCTGCTTCGTGAAGCCGGTGCCAAGCAGCAGCAAGCGCAGGTCCTCGGCCCTAATCACCCCGTTCTTGGCCACCGACCGCGAGCCCTTGATGTTGAAGATTCTCTGCAGACACTCGGACAGCCAGATGGGGTCGAGGAAGTAGAGGTTCCTCAGGCCGTGGCTGGTGTCCGGGAAGTGCAGCAGGGAGCCCGTTTCGATGAGGAAGCTGATGGCTGCCCGGGGAGGGGAGGAGGGGGCAGCGTCAAACAAAGGGCCGAAGGGGCTCTGGGTGACCTCCTCCCAGGGCGCCGGGCCACAGATTCTTCTTAGGAAGCAACAGTGCTCCCAACACACGGGACCCTTCGCAGCAGTCAGCTGCCTCCTCACAAGTTCTCAAGAGGCCAATGTACTGACCGCCATAATTCATACATGCCACCCGTGCAAATCTGCTTACGCGTTAAAATGGATTTGCGACCCCAAATCGATAGCTGAAGTCTTTGCCGTCATTTGCACATGTGCACAGGGCAGTGAAAAGTCAAGGTGCCCCTCCCCAGGACTCCGCCCATGGCTGTGCCTGCTGGCACCCAGCTGAGCCCTCGTGGCCCTCCCGCCCAGCCCACCCACCAGACTGCAGGTCCTCATAGTCCCGGATATCGCTGCCGGGCATCTGGTCCACCAGCTGCTCCAGCTGCCGGTCTGTCAGGTACTGCACGTCGTCGCTCAGGCTGCGGCGCTGCTGCTCCGCCAGCACGGCCTCCTGGAGGCTCAAGTAGCTCCTGGGGATCTGGGGTGGGAGGGAAAGGGTGGATCCTTGGGGCTCGGGGCACCTGCCTGCCTCCTGAGGACCAGGCAGGTGGGCTGTCTCTGCCACAGTCTCCCCACTTTCTCCTAGAAACCACTCACACAGGGGCCCCAGGGCCCGGCACACAGCATGCACAGCAGTGCGCTTCAGGGCAGGGGGAAGAGGGAGGTGCAGACGCCCTGACAGGCAGAGAGTGGGCCCTTCTGGCTTCCAGGGGGTTAGGGGAACCCACCAGCCTCCTGCTTCCTGGGGATGAGGGGAATCCACCAGCCTCCTGCTTCCAGGGGATGAAAGGAACCCACCAGCCTCCCCACTTCCAAGGGATAAGGGATACCCACCAGCCTCCCTGCAAGTCGCTGGCAGCCTATGGTGCTGCCCACGTCCTTCATGTTGCATGTGACCTGGAAAATGAGCTGCCGCAGCCCTTCCTGACCTTCCAGGCTCTTACAGGAGAGTTCGCTGTGGGTACAAAAATGAAGCATGTGCACTCACCACACCCCCCTCTCTGACCAGCACTGCAGGGTCTCTGTATTCCCAAAGGTTCCATCCCAAATACTGGCAAGTTGAGAAAGCTCATGACGGACAGACACAGAAGCTTACTGAGGCCTGATGTGGTGCAGGGCGCGGTGCTGGGGCTCCACGGTCAGTCTTTCCAGTGTGCCCATGTCAGCCCCCCACGGCACCCTCGCCTGTCCCAGCCCTCGAGACCACTCGGACCCAACGGGAGGCCCAGGGCCGTGCCTGGGGGCTGTTCTTGCTCAGTGATCAACAATGTCCTGGGTGGTGTGTGTGCTTCTGTCTCCCGGTGCCACGGGGCTGCGCGCAGCGCTGAGCCTGGCAGCAGGGAGACCCGGATGGGAAGTTCAGACAGCGTCTCCAGGCCCCGCCCTGCAGGTCCTCGGCAGCGCCTCACCTTCCCCAGGCTGAAACTGCCACACTTCACCCTGGACGGGGCCCCAGAGGAGCACAGCGCCCCCTCAGCAGCCCCGTGTGGGCAGAGCAGCTGTCTCTGGAGAGACAGACAGTGAGGCAGCCGCGGCCCCGAGAGGCTGGGTGCACAGGACGCTGTGGGACACTCACTGTAGGTGTTTACACGTGATGTCCGGAAAGCCAGTGGCCCTGGACCCAGAGGGTGAGCGGCAGAGGGCCAGCACATAGGCACGCAGAGTGGCGATCCTCTCCACGCGGAATTTGGTTTCAATTAAGTCCAGATGTGTTCCCACCACCAGCACCACGGCGTTTGGGGCCTTGGCCTGCAAAAGAGAGTCTGGGCTGAGGACGGGAACAGTCCCCTGGGCGGCGGTGTGCCAACCCTGGACACCCAAGTCCCTCAGCCAGCGCCCCGCCACAGCCTGTACTCCTCTCTGTAAACCTGGAGGGCCTGCCGCACGCCGGGGACGTGTGAGGGTCCGCGACTCCTCCCTGGGGGCTCTACCTCTGATTCCTTCAGGCCGCACCCCACCTCCTGGCCCACATCACCTTTCCACTGCAGGAGGAGAGCCCTGATCCCCTCCTAGGTCCGAGATGCGGGGCTCTGCCACCGAAGGAAGCAGCAAAGAACAAGGGCACCATCAACCGTGTAGCGGAGGAGGCACAGAAGGCTGCATTTCACGGCGATCTGTGATCCTGTGGCCTCCGTGACAGCGCAGCCAAGCACACCCTGGGTCTCCCTACCCGTCTTCTGTGCCCCCACCCCAGCCCTGGGAAGTGCTGGGGCACCTGCGGTGCCCTGAGGACTGAAGGCTGGAGGGTGGGGGCCCCCTCACCTCGATGTTGAGCAGCCAGAACTGAAGGCTGGCCACGGCCTCCTCCCCCAGAGCCAGGTTCCAGACCACCACATACAGGGCCTTGTCTGTGAAGAAGCACTGGTTGACTGTGGCCATGCTGGCGGGGCCGCCGATGTCCCAGACGGTGAACTCCACAGACTCAACCTACTTGAGCAACAGGGCAGCGACAGGGAGACACTTCAGCAACCAGGGCAGTAGCCAATCCCACTGAGAGAACTGATCCCTCAGCACGTCGCACATGGGGGTCTGGAAAAGGCGCAGCTGCGGAAAAGCACTGCCCGCTCTGCCGTGCGTCTCAGGGACCAGCCGTCTGAGGGACAGAAGGGGGCCCAGCAGCCCCGAGGTGGGCTCTGGGGGGTTCTATCTCCTGCTGCAGAAGCGGTGGGGGCTGGACGGCTGGCTCCCTCGGGCGGGGGCGTCTGTGGAGCGCCGGAGGGTGCTGTCTGTGTCTGTCTCAGGTGCGGGAGGTGAGGGGACGCCTGTCAGAGGAGCCTAAGGCTGACAGCGGCGCTCACAGCAAGACTCATGCTCCCTCTGAGTACCGGCAAGTCCACGCAGATGGGCTGCCGGACGGCGCCAGCCAGAAGGTGGCACCCCCCGAGGGTGGTAGCAGAGGGTCCTGATGGAGCACGCTAACAGAGGTCAGCTGCGGGGCTCTGGGGGAAGGCTGTGTGAACGGTGGTTTCTCTATCATGCTATGAGGTCAGAGTCTGGCCCGAGCTGCGTTTCTTGGTGGCAAAGAATCATTCCCACCATGCTGCAGCTTGGCCTCCAGAACAGCATGCTGACCGGCTTTTTCGGTATAAAGATGAAAATAGACAGCTGTTCTAAGCTGGCTGAAGGCCTGGCCACACAGAGAGTTACAGAACTGAGCGTTCACAAGATCAGGTGGTTGTCCTTCACTGAAAAGAGTAGGCGGAAACATGAATGATGGCAGAAAGGAAGTGGGGTGGGGGGGGTCACTCCTCAAACCTCAGATCTTTGCTCAAGAACAGCTGGAAAAAAGTGATACAGAATAACAGCTTAAAAAAGCAGGAGAGAATCCAGAGATTCTGGTTACTTTCAAAAACCTTTGGACATGTGTTACCTAGGTTCACTTCTGGGGTTTTCTGGGGAAGGGGCAGTGCTGGTGTTAATTATTTGACTGTTCTGGCCCTAGTGGGCAGATCTCCACTCTCTAGAGAACTAGTTTCCGAGTCCATATTAAAATATACAATCATCCACCTCACTACAACCAACTCAAATTCACTCCTTTTTATGGCTGAGTAATATTCCATTGTGTATATGTGTCACAAGTTCTTTATCCATTCATCTTTTGATGGACATCTAGGTTGCTTCCATGTCCTGGCTATTGTAAATACTGCTGCAGTGAACTTTGGGGTATATGTATCTTTTTCAATTGTGGTTGTCTCAGGGTATATGCCCAGTAGTGGGATTGCTGGGTCATATGGGCTTCCCTCATGGCTCAGATGGTAAAGAATCCGCCTGCAATGTGGGAGACCTGGGTTCGATCCCTGGATTGGGAAGATCCCCTGGAGAACAGAAAGGCTACCCACTCCAGTATTCTGGCCTGGAGAATTCCATGGACTGTATAGTCCATGGGGTCGTAAAGAGTCGGACACAAGTTAGCGACCTTCACTTTCACTTTTCATGGTAGTTTTATTGCTCGATTTTTGAGGACTCTCCATGACAGAAGGAGCCTAACCTGGTATTCTGTGTGACCTAGAGGGGTGGTGGAGGGAGGATGAAGAGGGAGGGATATATATATATATATATATATATATATATATATATTATACACACACACACAGTTATAACTGATTCACGTTGTATGGCAGAAACCAACAAAACACTGTAAAGCAATTATCTTCCAGCTAAAGAGATTTTTTAAGTTATAAAAAAATAGACATTCAGCTTAGATGTCTAATGACTCAAATTGGATTCCCGTGACTTGCAAAGTGATTTTATGTGAAAGACTCTGCAACAAAATTAGTCTCCAGCTGGCCCTGTGCTGGGGGCTGTGGGGAACACTACGCAGCCGCTGGCCTAAAGGCTGCTGAGTTTTCCCCAGATGACCTCCTTGCGCCTGTGTCCCTGTGTGGCCACGTGTATGCCACACACACAGCAGTGGGTAAGGGAGGCACCACTAGCACCTGCTCATCCCTTGGGCTGGGAGAAAACAGGCTCCCTTTTCTGATTCAAGTGTAAGACTGTTCTCGCTTTCATCTGTCTCATACTAAATGGAGAACAGGATGATTAACAGGTTCACTGAAGGACTCATTTAAAATAGGGCTTAGAAAGTGGACTTTTCAGAACTTGGGGTGAAAGCGGGTGTCAAGGAGGACAGGGCCTTCATTCTGGGGCTGCCTTCTCGGCCTTTCTGCTAGGGGTAGCTACTGGTGTGTCTCACTCCTACAGCGGTAGTTCATCCTCCACCATGGGGAAGGGCCCCGTCCCAGGCCATCTGAATCACAGTCCTTGGGGTTACAGATGATGAGGCCTGGGCATTGTGGTCTTTAAAAGCTCATCAAAGAAGTCTAACCATCAGCCAGGGTTCGGAACCACTGCCCTGGAACCTCAGCTCAGCTCTAAGAGAAAACAATACAAGGACATTTAAGAAATGATTCACTGTCCTTGGCAGGAGCTGATTTGAAACAGTACATGATGACTCTTGCAAATATCCTGGGACTAAGTCCTGGGCTCTCTGGAGAGGAGGAAGCAGGGGCCCGGGGCACGCCCTCCCTCCCACAGGGACTCTGCACGCCGATCATCCTTGACCTTGGCTCTCGAGCCAGCCGGCCTCTGCAGCTCCCACTTGGTGGTCCTGATGGTGGCCTCGCCGTGTACCACCTGGGGGGCCCTCCCCGTCTGTAAGATCTCCAGGAGGGTGGACTTGCCCTGACGCGGCGGACCCACGATGATCATCTTCATCTGCTTGCACTTCTCTGCTTTCCGCAACTGAGCACGCAGGTAAGACAGCATCGCTTTGGGGCCTGTGCAAAACCACAGTGGGGCAAAGGAGATGCTGCTGCTGACACAGAGGTGGGAAGACACTCACAGCTCTTGAGAATCAGTCTTGTCTGAAGGAACACTCTCTGTGTATTCTCATGGGATAAGGGTAGGTAGGGACTGAGAAGACTTTTGGGTCTATGGAGAGAAGGTGTGATACAATTCACCCCAAAAGTGAAATCTAAAAGTCAGGGATCTAAAGACAGCATCCTAGGTGCTACGAGTCACACAGTCTGGTCACATGGCCCACAGCAACCATCGAGTTCTGGAGAACCTGACACCATCTTTCCAAACAAGGGAGCTGAAGGGAGGCCCCATGGGTCCCCAGGAGTGTCTGCTCCAGGTCCTGAACAACTAGACTTGTGTCTTTCCCTGGGGTGCAGAGGGCGGGGTTGTGATGCTGAGGAAGCCCTACCTTCTTTTCTGATCTCTGCAGGCACGTTGCCAATATTCAGGTCTTCAATGTCCAACTGCCAGAGGTTGCCCAGCTGCCCCAGCTCAGGAGGGAGCTCTCGGAGGCTAGGATTGCTGAGGGCATACATGCACCATGGGAGAACACACATGCACCATGGGAGAACACACATGCACCACGGGAGAACACACACACCATGGAGAACACACATGCACCACGGAGAACACACACGCACCATGGGAGAACACACACACAAATACCACGGGAGAAAACACACACCACGGAGAACACACACACACCACAGGAGAATACACACGCAGCACGGAGGAACACACACACCACAGGAGAACACACATACATCACGGGAGAACACACACACCACAGAGAACACACATACATCACGGGAGAACACACACACCACAGAGAACACACACATACCACGGGAGAACACACATGCACCATTGGAGAACACACACACCACGGGAGAACACACACGCACCAAGGGAGAACATACACACCACGGGAGAACACACACGCACCATGGGAGAACACACACACCACGGAGAACACACATGCACCAAGGGAGAACACACACACCACGGAGAACACACACACCACGTAGAACACACACGCACCACGGGAGAACACACATGCACCATGGAGAACACACATGCACCACGGAGAACACACATACACACCACGGGAGAACACACACACACCACGGGAGAACACACACACCACGGAGAACACACACACACCACGGGAGAACACACACACACACACACCATGGGAGAACACATATGCATCACAGGAGAACACACACACACCACAGGAGAACACACATGCACCATGGGAGAACACATACACACAGCAGCCTGTCAGCCTCCTGGGCCTGTGGAGGCCACTGACAGTCTGTACCCCAAACCAAATATCTTAGGCCCTGATTTCAAGTGTTTCATTTAAATACTAAATCCAAAGCCTTTCCAAGTGGCGCTAGTGGTAAAGAACCTGCCTGCCAATGCAGGAGACACAAGAAATGCAGGTTCGATCCCTGGGTTGGGAAGATCCCCTGGAGCCACTCTTGCCTAGAAAACTCCATGGACAGAGGAACCTGGTGAGCTACAGTCCATGGAGCCACAAAGAATCAGACATGACTGTGCAACTGAACATGCATGGTTTTCCAAAGCCTTTCTCCCTGGGAAGCCAGTGGTACAGTGGCAGCTCTGTCTTCTGCAAATCTCCATGGCTTAAAACAGGGTCCCCTCCCCCAACTTCTCCATCTCTTCGATTAATTACACTATCATAAAGATGATCACTACCTCTTCTAGACAAGGCAATGCAGCCTGAATTATTTTGCACACTGTCTGAATCCTTCAGCACTATTTGGCAGTAGGTACTCAGTGAATGAAAGGATGGATGATTGAGCTGCTCTTCCTATTATAAATGAGTGAAATAGCAAGGAAGACATCCTTGTAGAGCTACCCCTACCTCCCCCTCCCCTACCTCTTTGACTAAGTCTGGCTCTGAAAATCCAACTGCTGCTTCTTGGTATGTAGATAATGTCTCCCTGGCTCCCATGCCCTTGGATGTTTCACACAAGGACATTCTGCTTCCTGGGCTGAAGGGCCGGTGCAGCAGCGCTGGCTGTGCACTTACTTTCCCAAGTAGAGTTCTGATAGGCTCTTCAGTAGGCAAACTGAAGGTGGGACTACATCCAGGTGGTTGTCGTTCAGACAAAGGACTTCCAAAGACTCACTCAAGAAAGCAGGAAATTCCAGTACACACACTGCAAAGAAATGGCAAAGCAAACCATACATTAGAAGATAATTCTGGGCCATCACAACATGGAGGCCAGGTGGGTGCATACACTGGTACAACCTCTAGAGGGCATTTTGACAAATCTATCGGAATGAGATGCTCATCTCACTGACCCAGGGATTCCAATTCTAGGAAATGGTCCTACGGACATCCTAGCATGTGTGGCAAAGATGCGAGAACAAGGACACTCAGTGGCACAGTTTTCAGTAACAAAGGTAGAAGACAGCTTGTATGTCCACCCACAGGGAGTTGGTTAAATGAATAACGGGATTCTATACAATTATTACAAAGCACGGGGTGGGTCTACATGTATGGGTATGAAGAGACACATAAGAGATACTGGTAAATCAAAAAAGCAAGGTGTGGAAGCAGGTATCTAGAAGCCTAAATTTGTGTACCATAAAACGTGTGCAAACATGTGAAAAAACAGCCCCCCATGCACTTAGACATGTTATATGCATGTGTGCATAATTATGCATGCTATATGATGTTATGTGCATGTGTACACAACACACATGCCTACATGCTTACTTTTGTTACATGAAGTATGTGCATACACATATGTTATATGCATGCACATATATACCACACATGCACATTAATATGCATACATGTTACATGTTGTTATTAGCATGTGTATATACACTACAAATACCACATGTTACAGATGTTATATGTTATAGTGGATGTCAGACACAAACGCAATTGCTACCACAGACACGTGAAGTTCCGTAGTTCTCTCTGGAGAAGGAGATCACTGGTGTAACTGGGCAGGACCCTATGGGGCTTTCCCAGAACAGCCCTCCCCAAACCCCATGTCCTCTGCTCGCCTCTTGTCTGTAGAAAAACTGGGGCCTTCTAGGCTTCCCCAGCTCCAAAGAGTACTTTTCATCAGAGAAGTTGAGAAAGTGCAGAAAGAAAAGAAAACAGTCAAGCAAGTCAAAATAATAATAATTCATCCATTAAACAAAGTCAAGGACCTTTAGTTCCTCCTCAAGGGCTATAGAGAATATTCTGAGCCATGTCCTTTGAGCTGTTTTGCAGAGTCTGAGACCCCCGTCAGGTGGAAGGCGTTAACTGTGTGCTGTCCACAAGCACGTAGACCCCAGACCGGTTGGAACCAGAAAGTTGAAGCTGACTCCCGACTGCCTCACCACCAATCAGTCAGGTGAATGTCCGTGAGCTGCTCCCACCCCCACAAGCCCCCTCCCTCACTCTGTCTTAGGAACCTTTCCCTGAAAGCCTTTGGGTAGCTCAAGCTCTTGAGCACTGGCTGCCTGGACAGCTTGCCTGTCTAGACAAGCACCTGCAATAAACATTGTGCTTGCCTTCACCATGACCCAGTGTCACCACATGGTCTTTACTGGACACGGGTGAGTGGACCTGAGTTCGGTTTGGTAACACTGGAAGGCTGAATATTCATTCCACACCCTTGGGTGCAGTTCGGAAATTTTGTTTACCATACATTAATGCATATATTACTTCTTCAATTATAAAACAGCCAGTTAACTGAAAAATAATAATGTGGTCTTGGTTTTTATGCTTCCTAGGAACGAGTCAACTCTCTAGTATATTTAAGTGATTTCAGTAATTATGCTGGTTTTAAGGTTCCTATTAAAATTACATCAAATTTGCTGTTTCTACAGCACCAGAGTGTGTGAGTTGAGAAAGAATGTGGGGAAAGCTTGGAAACTGATAGGAATCAGAGGGTCGGATTGCAACAGAATCTCTGAAGTGCCTTCTCCTTTCTCCTAAGGCAGGGAGAATGGGGGCAGGTGAGCACCCCCCTGAGGGCCCCTTCCAGCTCAAATTCAAGATAAACCAACGGCCTCAAAGCCCTCTCAGCCAGTTCTCTGCCAGACACACAAGACAGAGAAGCTGGCGTTCTTTTGTGAGGCTGAAACGATGCCTCTGCCCTGGATCACAGTCCTCCCTTAACTCTGGCTTTTCTCCACACATGCAGATGCAGTCGCAATGGTAACAGGGTAACCTGGCATCAGAGAATGTTTTGAGAGAGACGATAACAGAATACTGATATTGGCGCCTGGATAATTTGCTCAGCTAGCACCACATGAATGGGACTCAACACAGTGGCCCCTACAGAAATAAATGTGCAACAGACTCTTAAGGACAGCTTTGTACTAATCCTTGTTCTATAAGGAAAATGTTCAAAAAGTGTGTTTTTTTTTTAAATGAAAAAGAATGACCAACTTCACCCTGCCCTAATTTGCATGGAAAAAAAAAACATCAAGAAAGACCCACTTTCTTCCCAGAGAACACGTTCTGAACACATGGTCTCTGTACTTTCCATATTTAGTTTCACCTTGGTGTTTAAGAAGCCTCTTTAAGAAACAGACAGACGGAATAAGGGACTTGCCCTCTACACAGAGACAACACCTGTCACAGACTTCTTGGCCCAGAATGGAAACTCTGAAAACCGGGCTGGGCAGAGAGCACAGCTCGAGGTATTTATGAACTGTAATTACTTATTCATACATTATTTATGACTCAGCTGGTCTGAATATTACTGTAAAAATGGCCATCCAAATTATTTTTGGACAAGACCACTGTGCCAACGTGACTACTTGAATGTACATAAATCTACTTGGAGTTTTCTATCCATCTGCAAACAAGTAGAGATGATGCCTTACCCCAGGCCAACAGCCTGAGAGAACAACCCTCTTAGGAAAAGCATCTCTCCCTTTCACCCAGGCACAGGCCTCAACTCTCTAGATGAAATCGACAAAATCATGGGGCTCTCGTCGTGTGCGGACAGCACAGCACCCCCCCACCCCTGCCAGGGAGCCTCCCGAGCTGGGTCCTCCCCAGCTCCAGCCACGTTCCTGCTGGCCACCACGGGGCCACTTTCCAGGGCACGGAGCGTGTTTCTGCCCCGCTGGGCCCCGTATGCCTCTGGTCTTGCACTCTGGCGGTTTCATGAAAAAGTGTCTAGTCCCCCGGGAGTGCTGGCCCACCTCCTAAGGCGCCAGCATGGTCTGCCTTTCTGGACTAGAGACACCCTTCTAGTCCACTCCAACCCCTGAGCTTGGCCTGCCGCAGTGGGAGTGCAGCTGAGGTCCACCAGCAGCCCTTCTCCTGCCTGCCACCCCGTCTGGGTAGCCATGAGAAAGAAAATACTTGCTTTTCCTTCCTCCCAAGTGAAATCCTTAGGTCTGGACTCAATTTCCAAAGTCCTAAGGCCCTTTGTTTTGAAAAGGATCAGTTATGAAATTCCAAATTGCATTTCCCTAGTAGCGAGGTTCGAGGCCTTTCTGTTTCTTCCTGGGCCATCTGGACTTCCTTTCCTGTGAACTGTTTATATCCATTGCCCAGTTTCTGCCTATTGGGTTGACTTAAAAAAAAGTCAATTTGTAAGCTGTCTTTGTATATTAGGGACTTAAGCCAGTTTATGTTGCAACAGTTTTTGTTGCAAATATTTCCTCTTGGTCTGTTTGCATTATGACTTTGCTTATGATGCCTTTTACTGAACAAAGTTTTCCCATTTTTTACAATGCTAAAGATTTTGCTTTTTCAAAAATTACTCCTGGATTTCCCACCTAGCTTTTAAAGATCTGCCTACCTTCAAGTTATATATTTATGCTCTTAAATGTTATTTTCTTTTTTTTTTTAATGCTTCAAGCTGATATCTGCATGGAGATATTTGTAACTGATGTAAGGAGGGCACTGGTGCAGTGTTTTCCCTTCTTTCAGCTGGACAATCAGTTATATCAGCACTATTTATTAAAACAATAAAATATTCTTTTTCCCACTGAATTGAAATGCCACTTGTGTCACACTAAATTCCTATATTAGGTCTATTTTTGGACTCTTCTCTGTTCCACTATGATACATTCTTTTTTCAATCATATGTAATCATCAAAAAAGGGCAACAGGTAGGCAGACTGTTTAGTCCACCTGTAAATATGTCTTGGCCTCTGTGGCATTTCTTATTCCCACCTGACACCATCTACACTTAAAAAGCAGTTGTCAATATAGATCAATCAAGCTGAAGAAAAAAGTTTTATTACACCTAAAATAATCTAAATATCAGTTCCATTGGACAGTATCCACAGGGATAGATCTATGAGCGTTGATGGCTTTAGAACTCCTGACTTTCAGATTAAAAAAGAGGGCTGCTGATTGAATGTGAGGGGCAAGTCCACACCTCTCTCTGTACCTTACAGAAATGAGGAACAAAAAGAACTGTTTTCCTAGAAACGTTCTCTGCTGAACTGGCCTTGTCATGAGTTTGGAGGAAGACCTCAAGAGCCTCTAGAGTCTCAGCACAGCCAGGACAGCCTGCAGGACCCAGGGCTGCGGTGTTTCCATGCGCGCCTCACAGGAAGCCGTGGTGTGGAGGCAGGAGAGCGCAGCCCCCAGGCCCAGGGCCGATACTCATGGTGTTGGCCTGGCTCTCCTGCTCAGCAGCCCCTGCCCACATCAGTTACCCCTGTGCTCAGACTGAATCAGGTCCCCTCACATCTGTGAGTGGGAGCCCTCACCCCCAGCGTGATGGCTTTAGGAGATGAAGTCTTTGGAGGGTGGCCCCACGAGGGGTTACTATCCCTATAAGAAGAGACACCAGCGGGCTCTCTCTCTCTCTCTCTCTCTGCCATAGGAGGACAGAGCAAGAAGGCAGCTGTCTGCAGGCCAGAAAGAGGGCCTTCAGCATAAACTCACCGTGCACCTGACCTGGGACTTCCAGCCTCCAGAACTGAGAGAAAATATATTTCTGCTGGTTAAGCCACCCAGTCACTGGTGCTTTGCTATGGAAGCCTGAATTGAAGACACCCCGGGAGGCTCAGTTTCCTCATCGGCAAGATGGAAAATCACAACCCACATCATGTTGTGATGGTTACAGAGAGACTGACGCATGTAAGGTATCTAGGGCAGTTCTCACACAGCAGGCCATCCATACATGGGAGCTGCCAGACTTACTGGCCTGCAAACAGGAAAGGGGGTTTCGGGACACAGACCGGCCATCTGTGTGACACGAGCCACGGGCCCAGCCAGGAGTCCGAATCAGGCACGGGCACTCCACAGGGCGCTGCAGGCGAGAGCCCACCGGAGACGCCTCCCTGCAGGCCCCCCAGCCGTCTCACCTCCCAGCAGCAACACACACACCTGCCTCCGTCCCCGAACGCTGGCGGCCTCTGGTGGTGAAAAAGGAAATGCGCTTTGTTTTAAGGACATCTTCGTTTCTGTAGGGGGAGAAACGCCCAAGTTTGAGGAAAGCGTGGTGAAGACATTTCTACTCGGGCTGTGACTATACAACGGCGCACAGAAAGAAGGGAGAAAATACCCCCAGCAGGGTGTCGGGGCCCCTGTGGCCGATGGTAAGCAGGGACAGCCATTGTTTGTTAACTGCACCAGTTGTGCTCACAAGTCTTTTGGGAAAAAACAAAAACAAGCAGAGCAGGTGACGTAATGCCAGCAGGACTGGCGGTTTCCACTCCTGAGCTTTTCGGTCTCAGGCAAGGGCAGCCTGGCAGGAAGGCCCACTCCAGGGGTTGCTGCTTTTCTCGTCACCGGGGAGCTCTCTGCGAGGGGTAAGTTCCCCTGAGATGCCGCAGTGGTGTCCCTCAGCCAGTGAACTAAGGAAGCTGGTCTTCCTAAGGAGACCTTAGAGGGTACTTTTTATCCAGTCTACACATACTGGCTAGTGACTGGCAAAACCTTTTGAACAGAAGGACAACTGAGGCTAATACAGGGAGACTCTCCAGGAGTCCCTAAAGACTGGAGATTGCAGGATACTGTGTTGGGCTGAATTGTGCCCCTCCCATTCATCTGTTGAAGCCCTAACCCCCAGCATCTGAGAATGTGAGGTATTTGGAGACACGGCCTTATCCAGTTAAGACGAGGTCATGACCGTGGGCCTGGGTCCAGTCTGCCTGGTGTCCTCACAAGAACAGGACACAGACAGGCACGGGGGAGACTGTGTCAGGACACGGGGTCAGCTGCCTGCCTGCCGAGGAGAAGCCTCAGGAGAAACCGACCCTGCCGCCGCCTCCCTCCCAGGCTTCCAGCTTTCAGAACTGGGGGAAATCCATGCCTATCATTTCAGCCACCCGGCCAATTGCACTTTGTCATGGCCGCTCAGCGACCCCGCATGGATGCCATCCCATGGGTCTGCGACTGGGCTTATACACACAGCTGAGAGCTCACTGGGGACAGACACCCCTGCTTACTTGCCAAAGTGATTTCTGGAGAGATCCAGGGCTTTGAGCTGCCTGCAGGTCCACTTCTTTGGAGGTGGGAGGGCTACCAGCTGGTTTCCCTGTAACTTCAAGGACATGAGGGCCTGGGGCAGAGAGAGAGAGCAAAGGTGACGTCAGATAGCACAGGGGTGGAGGACGGGAAGGGGAACCAAACAGTTACAACCAATTCACTCTCACAGGGATTCCAACAGTGAGGGGCCTCACAGGGTCTTCAGCCTCCTGACATCACAGCAGAAAGGGCGAATGGGACAGTTAACAGATCCTTCCCTTCAGATCAAGGTGAGGCAATTATTCCAGAATTAAAGGAATGAACTGACACTTCTTAAGAGTGACAATTACTTGTGGACCCGTCCCAGGAATAGCAGAAGAGTCTGAAGGCTCTGGAGGCCACAGTGCCAGCGCAGGAGGGGTGGGCAGAGCGGGATGGCTCCCTGGACTGGCCCAGGTGACACCCTGGACAGGGGTCGGTGGCAGCAGCAACACCAAGGGTGACCCGCCCAAGTCACGGAACCTCTGCCGGCTTGACACGGACTCCCCTGGGGCAATGGAGAATACCCCACCCGGGCCTGGCTCTGTGCACCAGGTGGTGACTAGGACCCATGCTCTGCTTTCAGAGGTTCCCACGGGGGCAGGAAAAACAGACAAGTCTGGGAACAGCCCTGCTGGGACACACACAGCCAGGGCTCTGGCACAAGGCATTTCCTGAGTTCACGCCCGGGAATTCCAGCTCTTCTGCTTCCGGGCAGGGAGGCAGGATGAGGCTGCTGCCCGAGCCTCGTGCACCAGCGGGCCTGGCGGGCCCACTCGGGAGCCAGGAAGGAACAGAACCACAGAGGGTCAGTCCAAGGAGCTGCTGGGCTGTGCTTACTGTCAACATTAAAGAAAACTCTGGAGAACAAAAACCCATCATCCCACCTTCCTCCCAGAGCTGTTGTCATTTTGTGCATTTCCTCTCAATCTTTGCATGCAACCAAAATGATCTTGATGGCTAAACTTTTCTTTCAACTTATTTTTTCTTTGTCTCAAAAGCTCTGAAGAAGTACATAGAACTGTAACGTGGAGTGGTTTTCTTCCAAAAGCTGAAAATGAGAAATCAGGTGCTATTACTTGACTTACATCAAGCTGGAAAAGTCCCAAGGGAACTTCTTTCAGTGCATTTTCTGAGAAGTCCACATCCTTCAGGTGGTTCTTCCAAAACACAGCCATTTTGTCTGGTAGAGCCTCCAGGGCATTTTTGGATGCTTTGCAACATTTCTAGGAGTATGACAATAAAGAGAATTAATCAGCTTTTTAAAGGCAGGGGTTTCTATGAGAAAGACTTTCCAAATTTAATGTTAAAAATAAGACCATTACAAAAACCTCTGTAATAAATACAATTCAGCTAATTAAGAGGCTACAGACTATTCCTGGGATTCCCTAGTGGCTCAGCAGTAAAGAACCCGCTTCAATATTCTTGCCAGGAAGTCCTCATGGACAGAGGAGCCTGGTGGGCTACAGTCCACAGGGTTGAAAAAGGGTCAGACTCGACTGAAGCGACTGAGCACACATGCATGCAGACTATCCTTGCCCTGTTTTCCTGTCCTTGCTCCAGGGAATGGTGGGAATGGTTTCCTGGGGAGACCAAGGTGGCTCGTGGTATTTTCCCCTCCCCCAGGACACCTGGCCCATTGTCCTTGAAAATAATGGGACAATTCCGGAGAGTCTTCTGAAGAGGAGCCTACACCATACACACATATACATTTAAACTAGAAATATTAATGTGAGGAATGGAGAATTTCCATATTTGCTGTTAAAAATAACGGCAAGAAAACACAAATATACTTTATGCTGTTCCATCTGTTTTAACAAGCAAACTTCCCAAGAAACAAAACCACCATTTGAAGGGGAGTGCTATGGATGCAGACTATGCCTTCTCTCCTTCATTCTCATTTTATGGCTGTCCTAAAGGAACGGCCTCGTGTTTTTGGACAGAACTCGACCCGGGTCATCCCATTTCCAGGCTGTAGTTGTGGAAAGTCTTGTAGGTGCTATGGTGCCAATCTCAAACCCAAAGCCAAGGGGGCTGGCCCTCGGGTGAGTTTCCTGCCTAAGACCCTCAGCTGCTAGGTGCTGAGTGACAGACATGCTCATCTATAACATGGGAGCAACTCTGCCCATCGAGGGGAGGTAGCATGGTGCACCCTCTCAGCTCTGTGGGACTGACCGCTCCTTCCACAGTTTCTGGAAAGTTACTAACCAAAGGACAAGCCCAGGCATCTGGAAGTGCCCTCAGGTTATTTCTGGAGGCATTCAGACAACTGAGTGATTTGAAAGAATGGAGGAAAAGTGCAGGGAGTTCTGTCAGTTTGTTGTCAGAAACATCGAGCTCCTGTAGCTTCCGTAAACCAATCCAGTTCGTGGCTAGAAGATAAAAGAGGATGAATTGGTCAATATATCCCAATCAAGAAGAAAATGACAAAGTATATCAGGTTACTGATGATGAAACATACCACTCTCTTCTTCAAACAATTTTTCCAAATAGTTTTTTGAAGCCGTCAGTTTTTGAAGTTTTGAGAGATGCAGGAATCCTGGTGGGAGGTGGGACAATTTGTTGCTGGAAATATCTATTTCAAGTAGCCTGTAGTTGGGAAAGAAGGAAGTCAAGGCATCAGAAGCAAGTCTTGGTTACATATTTCTCTGTAAACGTGTTTTTCTCCTGGCACAAGGACAAGGAATGTGCACTGAAACACCACCATGGTTTGTGTTCATCGTGTTACCGTCACGATGTCGTGTAGAAAAAGAAGACCAGGGCTCTCGTTGGTGGGTCCGGGGCTCACTGACCAGTAGGGATGTAACCTTTCTCAAGAATGTGATAACAGAACAAGCTGGTGTCCTAGATGCTACTGGAAGTCCAGAGAGCAGTGCTTTTAACCTTTTGGACTCTCAAGTCTGCCCTGGTTAAGGACCCCCCACTCCATGGCGGCTGTTTAATTTTTTGGACAGGGCTTTTTTCACATGAGTTACTACTGACCCTATGCTCTTGTCAACATTCTTTTCTCTTCACTTAGAGCCTTAACTTTTGAAACCAGCTCACGTCCCATACGGAACAAGGGCTTACGGGCATGAGCAATACATCAGGGAAGGGAAGGTCCTTCCCCTCCCCATGCAGCCTCAGCAAGGGGGCTTGGGTGTCTTCCCAAGGCCTCCCAGAAAAAGAGACAGGCACACTGTCAGACCACGACCAGAGTCCTGTGCAGTTAACTGCTTCTTGGAGGCCCTGCTCACTTTTCTTGGGAGGTAGGCCAAAAGCCAGGGTGTCTGGGCCCCATTGCTTCCACCAGCCCCCTTCCTCTGATTCCTGCCTGCAGGACCAAGACTGGGCATCATGGGCCAGCAGGCCTGCATGGCTGCAAAGATCAGTGGACACGTGGGCCAGACAAACCACCCTGTCAGAACTCTCTGTGTTCATGTGGACAGCAGCCCGGGACCTTGTGCCCAAGAGCTTGCTGAAGGCACGCACAACTTCCTTCTCTTATTTTAACTGAAAATCTGTTTTCCAAAGCACCAGCTACAATCAGGGAGCACAACTGCAGGAAGCAGACTCTGCAGGCAGAGGGTGTGGGGGCAGCCAGGCTCACACGGCTGGGGCCCCCACTGGGGCCCGGGGCAGGAGCCTACCTGGAACAGATGATTTCATCTGATGACTGCACGCTGGGCAGCTCCCCCAGGTGGTTGTCCGAGAGGTTCAGTTTCCGGAGGTTGATAAGGCCCCAGGGAACGACCGAGGGGAGGGACGCCAGGCAGTTGGCAGAAAGATCCAGCTCTGTGATCTGGCAGGAGATGTCGATGAGCCAGTCCAGATCCACCCAGGGCAGCTTGAGGTGGGACCATTTTACACGAAGAGCCTGGGTGTTGGAGAAATGGGCAAAGCACACGCCAGTGATGAACCCAGGGCTCACGCAGACTTGGAATAAAGCAATGGTTTATCCAAGTGTGAGTCTGCCTGCTCGTCTCAGCGGAGTCCTGAGAGATCAGGAGCACTGGGAGCACGTTGGCACTCGGGGACACCTATATCCTCGAGGGCATCTCTGCAGACACAGCAACGTGCTCTCCAGACTCAAGCGGGGGCACATGGGCTTTGCGTCACCCCTCAGAGGGCTGACCACAGGCAGGCAGGACACACAGCAGGAATGGCCCCTGCTCTGTGCAGAAGAGGCCACCCCAACTTGGATGACCCGCACCAGCCAGGAGAAGAAGGCGGAGACCCAAACCTGGGTCTTCTCCCTTCAGGTCACCCTTCCCCGTGATGAGGGTAAGAAGCATCTGCACATGCTCACACCGCACAGGATGCTTTGTGGATGCACCGCTTCCGGAGTGAGCGACAACACACAGGCAACGGCCAGAGCACATGCGAAAAAGAGGACTTTGACCCCAAACCTGCAGCAACCTACCAGGACACTGATAACCCCCTCATCTAAACTGGAAGCAGGGACAAAACTAGGGAAGTGGTCACTTCTCAGACGAGTCCCGGACATTTGGGGCCAACTGTTACAGAAGTTACCCTGTAGCTTCCTGGACTGTTACTAGGCGTCGCAGTGAGTCACGGGGGGGGGGGGGGGGGGGGCTGGCATTTGGCATTTCCTGCAAGCTCCCAGGTGATGCTAGAGCTGCTGGTCTAAGGAACACACTGTGGGAAGGAAGAGACTGAACTTGACCTAGAGGTTGACTCATTCTATTTAAAGTATAAATTATATGATCTTTCCTTTCAGGTGAGAAGGGTACTCTAGCCCTAGGCTAAGACAACTGCTGTAACTAATTAGGGAAAGTCAAACATGCTCCCCTAACCAGTCACAAAGGACGCCCCCTTCTAAGTCACTGCCTCCAGCTTGCCCACCAGCAGCCTCCAGACAGGGCACACCTGGCGGCTTGCCCTTGTCCATGATAAAGCCTCTCCACTCCTCTGACAAAAGATGAGCGACAGTGGCTGACTCGCTACCGAAAGCGCTGAACAAATCTCCTTTGCTTTTCTCATTTGATTGGGTCAGAAAGGCCAGTAGCTTGCTGGCACATGGTGGTAAATGGGATCTGGTTAAGTGTTTATGAGCAGGGCTTTGCTTTTCTTGGTCATCCAAGAATGTGGGGCTCACTGAGGTTTCTGGGGAAAGGAAATCGGCTCTTTTGGCTACTTTCTCTAAAGCAGCTGGAAATCCATATCAGAAAATTAGAGAACCAAGAATTAGTGCTTCACTGAAGGGAAAATGTTGCAACTGGGAAAGACACCAATAACGTGAGGTGAGTTCGCTTTCAAAATTGGCAGCATAGACTCCCTTAGCCGGTCACAAGGTGGCGTGTGCGCCCTGTCTTCGTCTCCTTGGCTAACTTGCCAGGATTGGAAAGGCCGTTCCTTTTCAAAGTTCTGGGTTTTGGAACCAAGGAGATGGGGGCCCTGTCTCTGTCTGCCTGTCTTTCTCCATCCACCTCAATGAAGTGAGATGGTGGTATACTGGATTTCAGGTCAAGAGAATGGAGTTTTAGTCTCAGTTTTACTTTAGACAAGTCAAGCTTGAACTGTAGGCCTGTTTTTATTGTCATTATTGTTTCCCCCCATAATTTTTTATCTTGAAAAATTTCAAAACTGCAGAAAAGTTTAACCAGTTCAATGCATATCCATTCATACATACCTCATCTAGATTCAACTGTTAATATGTTGCCACATTTCTTTTTCTTCTTTTTCTCTACACACACACACACACACACACACACACACACACACACAAACATACACTTTTCATTTTTTGCTGCGTCATCTGAAAGTAACCATGGCACTGCACACCAAAATTATCTCTGAAGAAATGAAATCAGTACCACATTATCAAATCCATACTCCATGTTCAAATATTCCAGAAATGTCTTTTATTACTATTCTGCATCTTAATCCAGGATCTCATCAAAAATCATACACTGCATTTAGTTGTCACGTCTCTTTACTTTTCTTGAATCTAGAAGAAACTTCATGCCTTTCACTGTCCTTTTAAACTTTGGCATTGTAAGTTTTCAAGTCATTCTAGTTGTCTTGTAGAATATCCCATAATCTGAATTTTGTTTCCTAATGTTTAGATTCAGGTTAAGCATTTTTGGCAAAAATCTCAATGTTCATTCCTACTAATTGAACTCCACAAGAGGGCACCTGATGCCAGGTTATTTCACTAGTGGTGATGCCAAGTCTGATCCTTTGTTTAAGGGATCTGTCCTTTGTGATGCCACATTTTGTGTGTGTGCGTGTGTGTGCACGCTCAGTCGTTTCCGACTCTTTGGGAGCCCATGGACTGTAGCCCACCAGGCTCCTCTATCCATTGAATTTCCAAGCAAGAATACTGGAGTGGGTTGTCATTTCCTCCTCCAGGGGATCTTCCAGACCCAGGGATCAAACCCGAGTTTCTTGCATCTCTTCCACTGGAAGGCAGATTCTTTACCTCTGTGCCACAAAGTCACATTGTACTCTTTGTGATTAACAAGCAATCTGAGGGGGTGATATTCTGAGACTAGTGAATGTTTTCTGTTCCTACATCAGTTCATCCTGTGGTTTCAGCATCCATTGTTGATCCAGGGTGTCCAGATCACAGTCTGACTCTCTCCACTCTGTATGGCCCTGTATGGCCATTCAGGTCACCTGAACTGATACGGCGGTCAAATGCAAAGTGAAAAGGAGACTGGGTTTGCTTTTAAATAACAGACCTTAGGTGTCTATTGAAAGTTTGATAAATAAAACTCTGTAAGGGCCATCAAAAATAAATAAAACAACAGGCGCAACTCAGGTTGCTATGGTGACATGAAACAATTACGACACAAATCAATTAGACATCCTTGGGGAACCGGCTGAGACCTTGTGTCCCGACAATGGCAGTCTTCCTCCTGCATCTCTTCCTGTCAGCCTCTCTGATCCTGGAGCTGCAGCCTAGAACTGTATAAGGAGCAGGGACTCCGCCTCAGGGACACGAGTCCTGTGTTTGCTTAACTCATCCCATGTGAGACCTTGGGCAAGCTGAGTGGGGGTGAGCACTTTTTCAGGCACTGTCAGGCTCAACTCCCTTTTCAGGAAACCACCCATGGATTCCGTGCTGCGCTAAGTCAGCCCAAGGGTCGTCTCCATCTCCTCTGCCCCAGGAGGCAATGTGGCCTTCCAGAAGCTGGACTGCAAGCATCTCTAGTGCTAGGCCTCGTGATGACAACCTCTGAAGCTCAGCACTGTGCCTAGCATGCAGCAGACACTCAAGAAATGTTTGTGTGCTGAAAAGAGGCAAGCCACCGGGACCAACAATCCATCTACTATTGCCTCTAGCCGTATCCACCACTATAAACTCTCAAGGTCTGCTCAAACCCCACAGCCTCCCCCACTGCAGTCTGTCCGCAGAGAACACCTCAACTCCCACCCCGGACAGCCCCGCACCTCCACAGTCTGCCCTAAACACTCCCCAAATTTCTGGCACACTGCTTCTCCTAAGACCTCTGCCCACCCTCTCAGTTCCTTTTGGCAGATGGCTTGTGGGGTTAATAATTTGTTCTCAGTAGAAGGTAGAAGAAACTGGGGAATGGGCCAACTCCTAGAACTGAGGATTCAAGACTAAAGGAAAACTTCCAACTAAAGCCCAGAAACTCAGTTCAGTTCAGTTGGTCAGTCGTGTCTATTTCTTTGCAACACCATGGACTGCAGCATGCCAGGCTTCCCTGTCCATCACTAACTCCTGGAGCTTACTCAAACTCATGTCCATTGAGTTTGTGATGCGATCCAACAGTCTCATCCTCTGTCATCCCCTTCTCCTCCCGCCTTCAATCTTTCCCAGCATCAGGGTGTTTTCCAATGAGTCAGTTCTTTGCATCAGGTGGCCAAAGTATTGGAGTTTCAGCTTTAGCATCAGTCCTTCCAAAGAATATTCAGGTCTGATTTCCTTTAGGATGGACTGATTGAATCTCCTTGCTGTCCAAGGGACTCTCAAGAGTCTTCTCCAATACCACAGTTCAAAAATAACAATTCTTCAGTGCTCAGCTTTCTTTATAGTCCAACTCTCACATCCATACATGACTACTGGAAAAACCACAGCTTTGACTAGATGGACCTTTGTCAGCAAAGTAATGTCTCTGCTTCTTATTATGCTGTCTAGGTTGGTCATAGCTTTTCTTACAAGGAGCAAGCGTCTATTAATTTCACGGTTGCAGTCACCATCTGCAGTCATTTTGGAGCCCCCAAAAATAAAGTACTCACAGTTTCCACTGTTTCCCCATCTATTTGCCATGAAGTGATGGGACCGGATGCCATGATCTTAGATTTCTGAATGTTGAGTTTTAAGCCAAGTTTTTCACTCTCCTCTTTCACTTTCATCAAGAGGCTCTTTAGTTCTTCTTCACTTTCTGCCGTAAGGGTGGTGTCATCTGCATATCTGAGGTTGTTGATATTTCTCCCAGCAATCTTGATTACAGCTTGTGCTTCATCCAGCCCAGCATTTCGCATGATGTACTCAGCATATAAGTTAAATAAGCAGGGTGACAATATACAGCCTTGATGTACTCCTTTTCCTATTTGGAACCAGTCTGTTGTTCCATGTCCAGTTATAACTGTTGCTTCCTGACCTGCATACAGATTTCTCAGGAGGCAGGTCAGGTAGTCTGGCTTTTATGTTGGTGCAACCCTTATGGTTGAAGAATATAATCATTTATGAAGCCTGAAATTGACAGTGCTTTTAGGCTTGCTTTAACCTAAAGAGCTGAGGGGCTGGCAACTGGGCCCTGAGCGGACACAGAGAAGGGTTCTCTGCTCCAGCGCTGGGAGGACGTGCCTCTGCAATTTTGAGAACAGCCCCACCAAAGCAAGCTCCAATGCTGCCTTCTTAGGTCTCCATGGAACCCACAA